AGAACAGCACATATACAAATGGAAAATAATTGAAATACATTGAGCAAAAAATATAAATAAACACACATTTACTGTAAATAAGTACATGTAAATATAAACATACATTCAACTAAATAAATAAATAAATAAATGAATGCATACATACATAAATAAATAGTATATGTGTGTGCATATTATACATGTCAACTGCCCAACTGTTTTCACCAATATCTTCACCAATATTTTGAGCGGGACTTGAGGCTGTGATAAACAACAACTATCCATGCTATGCTTCATTATTATTTCAACACATGCTTGAAAACTGTTCCTTTAGACCCCTCTCCTATCCACACCTGACGGAAACTTCACTCGAGTCCACCCTGCCGATGTAGCTGCTGGGATTTAAATCTCTCCCGAGGCCCCGAGCAAACGGCGAGCAGAGAGTGAAACTGAACCGAGCACGCGTTGTTTTGTGCATGCAGTTTCTGGCAAGCGGCAAGCAGAGAGTGAAACTGAGCTCAGCCAGGCACAGACCACGATGTCACCATGTCACCGGCTATCAGGCGTGACCGATCAAATGCTTCGGCGCAGAACTAGCTGAATGTTCCCCGAGCGACTTGGATGGCTGAAAAACCATTCTGGCACACACAAACACACATGTCTATGTGTATGAATAAAAGTGTATATGTATAAAAGAGTGCACAAACAATGGTATCTGTGAGTATATATAATTATATATGCACATAAAATTGTATATATATATATATGTCAGTATACATAAACATATATATATATATATTTACATATGTACACACATATATTTATATATGTATATGCTAACGGGTGCAAAACCGTACGTGTAGTGACACACATTTTCAACATTCCCAATTTCACATCATGTTTTTGAGTTTACACACCATGTTGCACTCTTATGTTCACGTAGCTGGCAATCTGGGGATGTTAACGTTCGTTTGAAGTTGAACACGCCATTGATGCTACGCAGAGCATGGGGTGGGGTGGGGTGGGGTGGGGTGGGGGATGTTAGCGTTCGTTTGAAGCTGAACACGCCACTGATGCTACGCTGAGCATGGGGTGGGGTGGGGATGTTAACGTTCGTTTGAAGTTGAACACGCCACCGATGCTACGCTGAGCTTGGAAGTTGTGTGCACACTGGTGGCATTGACTCAGCTTGGAAGTTGTGTAAGGCAGCAGTCCCGTCCTCAGTCGGTACAAAAACGGCTGACGGTTTCAATGCCAGGATCGATCAATACATTCGATCCTGGCAATGGAGATGGGAAAACGCGTTGTGTCCTGACCTGTTGAAAAAAACAGCACAGGTCTACATGCACAATGATCACTGAAACTGGCAAGGCAAAAAAAAAATCCGGATTTCGTGTGGAAGGGTTGCCAAACGCAAGAAAAATGACATTTGTTTTAAGATTTTTACTTTGAGACGGCTACGAAACACTGAAAGGGTTGTCATTTTTTGACCATGGTGATGCGCTTACACGCGCGATTCCGCACCCGGCGGGATGTATATGATACTCATGCATATATATATATATATATACATATACATATACAAATGTGTGTGTTCTTCTTTATGAATATATGTGTAATATGCATATATATATACAGCTTGAGTATTGTACAAGAATTCACAGTATAAGAATTTGAGGGGCTCGAATCCAAGGCGGGCTACATATTTTCAGTTGTACTAAACACATAGGACTTTCAGAATTTGAGGGGCCCTGGAATAGGATTGCCCAATTCTTAAGTTACTCCTTATTTTTGCGTTTCTTTTTTTGCAGCGTGATCCCTTATATGGTCTTATGGGATGAAATCGGGTTTTGCAGAAAAATAACTTTTCAGGCTCGATTTTTTTTTTCGCGCATGCTTGGACTGCTTCCAACCCACACAAAATCAATATGTGGGTAGACTTGGGGACCTGAAATATTGTTTTCTTTAATAACTTGAAGAAAACTGAGGCTTTGCAGAAATCAACTGAGGTATGGGATCTTGGCTTCCTTTTCCAGAAACAAGGCAATCAACAATAAGACTAGCTAGAGTAAGCAACAAAGTTTACGGAAACAGCGCTCTGCAGAAAAAACATTTTTTCGAGCTCCGATTTTTTTTTTGCACACTAACCTTATGAAACTCAGACCAGCCCAGCTTTGCAAAAAAACAGCTTTTTCAGGCTCTAAAAAATTGTTTTTTGCACACTAACCTTATGAAACTCAGACCAGCCCAGCTTTGCAAAAAAAACAACTTTTCAGGCTCTAGATTGTTTTTTTTTTCGCATGCCTCTTGTCAAATCCGCCAACTCCACCTTGTTACCTCACTTTTGCTTGCTCCAAATTATGCAGATGCCTGCAATACAAAACTAAGAATGCCCTAAGAATTTGAGGGACCCTCAGCCTGTTGTGGTGTAAATTTGCCTGCATTTAAAAATAAGAATTTGAGGGACCCTGGGCCTCAAGCTTTCGGATTCTTAACCAGCGCTCGGGCTGTATTACCGATCTATCATTCTATATTCCGTTATTTACCTATTAGGTTTCATCAATCCGTGTATACTGAGATTAGGGTCCCTCAAGTAGATCTATAAGAGTTGACCAAGCGGCTAATAATCATACTGTGGATGGAAGAAATCCTGCACCACCTTTGATACCTCGGTTGAAATCCTATAAGTAATAATGGGATAAACCATCTATCAACTGGTGCAGGATTTCTTCCATCCACAGTATGTCTTTTCAATTAATTTTAGTTATATATGGCTAGCGGCGGGGGCGGAGGGAAACTGCGCTGGTGTTTTTGATGTTTCCGTTGTTCGTCTCATTCATGTGTGCTGCTACTTTACATACGTATATATTCCAGGTTTATCATGGTTGTTCTGTTATCCCCAAAATTGCTATCAATCTGGCTTTCATTTTTGGACTATGCTGTGGCCTGCGTGCTGCTTCGGTGTGCCAAGGCACCTGCAAAAGCCGAAGTCACAGGATCTTCACTGCTTTCTTGATGTTTCTTTCAACCAATGGCTTATATTAATCCCAGAAAACAGAGAATAATACAGTAAATATCTCTCTCCATTGCCATCTGTCAGAGACTGCGAAAAACAAAAATACTATTGAACTGTTCTACGTTTTTAGATTCATTCTTTTGGGTGCTACACTGGGTGGTGGTTTCAATAGGCAATTCGGATACATAAAGTACCATCAACCCAAATCATCCAAGTTTGGCGCGCCAGAAAAACCAGCAAGGTACCTGTGCAACTGCGCAACTGCGCAACTGCGTCAGGTGTACAAGTAGGCCTACATGTGCTAAGCACAAAAACGTTTCGAATACCTGAATGCTTCTTCAATATTTTCTGAAAGCGCGCAGGAGATGGCTGTGACAAGCGGCCAAACCTACAACAATTTTAATCGTAGTAGGTGAAACGGTGAAAGCTTGAAATACATTAGTCACAGAAGTGGTGGCACTGCCAATTGTGGTGCTCATGACGACGATTTGATGCGATTTGGGCCTTTCAAGCCCCTCAACGGACTCAACTGAAACCGTCTGTTTCTGGCCCAAAAGCATCCCAACTGCGCACTAAGGTTTGAAACTATCGGACCTACATAATCAACCGCTTATCTAACTCAGCGCAGGAGCAACCGGATGCTTGGAGCCCTCAAACAGTGTCCAATCCAGAGTAAACATCGCGTCGTGGACATGGCGCTGCCATGGCACTTATATAGCTTCAAAAGCTGTTCAAATTCAGCTGCGCCTCATTTCTTCTGCTTGGTGGTTTCAGCATCTAAAAAACATTTGAGAATCTCTTTTAGACCACCAAAAACATTGAAGACCACCAAAACCTCACAAGCCTGCAATCAGTGCTACAATTTCTGCGCAGAACTGTCGCGGCGGCTCGCAAGTCAATTTGGCAAACGGACTGTTAGATGACAGAGTTCTCCATGACCACATCCTCTTCATCGATGGTTTCCATGGTCTCTTGCCTCAATGTAGTCCCCCGGCCGGCGGACTCCTGAGACAGGGTTTTTCGGTGGGCTTGGAGGTGAGCAATCTATAGAGGTAACCCAGTATAGTGGGTTTTGTCATTGGGACGTTGCATTTCATCCATGTCCGCTCTTGGGGATGTGGTTCAAAGATGTGCCCCGGTTCTGCAAGTATTGGAGAGTTGTTTCTGGCATGCGGCTGATACGGCGCCCTTGGAAGGGTTACCAATTTTGAGATGTGCCATTTACGATCCCTTGGAAAGGTTGCAAATTTCAAAAATGAGGCTTGCGGAAATGGGGGTATAGGATTTTTTTTGGTTTAATTTTTTTAACATGTTGCACATGCTGTCGTATGATCATCAGGGGGGGTGGGGGTGGGGGGTGGGGGGTGTATTAACGTCCTGACGAGCACTTCCTTTACGTTACGGAAGATGCAAACGTTGCACATGCTGTCAGTTGTGTCAAAGATTATCCCCACAAAAGGTTCAAGTTGGCCCAAGTCAACCACAAACAAAATATCTTTACTAAGACTAAGACTGATCCTATAGAACCAGTGTTGCTGGTACTCAACAAATGGATGGAACATGGAAATACTTGAAAAAATGGCGACCTCCGTCGATGCTCCACAAAAATAAAGAAAACGTGTACAAAAAAAGGTACACTTGGGCCTACAGCTGGACATGGCGTCACAACGGTGCCTTGTTGCAGACTGTGGCTTCTGCGTTGCCACAAGCGCTCTGGCACCGCTAGCGTCGAGAAGAGGAAAAAAACTGGAAGAGTGAATGTCGCCCTGATATGATTCGGATGATTGAAAATCATAAATTTCTAATGTTTTTTTTTTTGACCCTTGAAGAGCAAAATCGCGTCACCGCGCAGGCGAAACGTAAATTTTCACTCTTGAGTCACACGCCTGCCAATCGAAATGAATGTCCATGTTGTAAACATTTTTTGACGACTCCTGCAAATACCAGCATTTTGTCTCTTAGCCTCAAAAATCAGAATTTAAAATTCGTCACCCTTACAAGGGCGTCGAGTCAACCGGTTGCCTTGTTTCTTTTTGGGGTGGCATAGGGTGGCAGGGCATTAACGGGCTCTTTAGTTAACAACCTTCTTCCCTTACCGTTGTTCTCACAACCCCAAATCAAGATGTCCCATATAATGTATTTATATGGCCCAAAAAAGAATTTCAGTATATTACAGTATCCTTTTCTTTTTTGCTTGGTTGCTTGGTTGCTTGGTCGGAGCAATTTCAGCAATGATTTCAAGGGATCGCTGTGAATATGCCGACTCTCGACCAACATGGTAAACCGGGTATCATTTGAAAGCACCTGTTGGGAAAACATGATGAACTCCCAAAAGACACTATAAATTACTAACTGACCTCAGCTATAACCACTCAACGCAAGCAGCTACAAAATGCGAGGCAGGTCGCTACAAAAACCCAAGGCTCATCGGCTATTTGAAAGGCCATTTTACGGTGGAAATTCATGGAAATTCGACGGGGAAGATCCATTTCCTAAGCCCAAATTTTTCGGTGAGGACGGCATGAAGAGAAACTGGGTCGCAGTTTAACTGCAGGTAATTTCTAATATCTTATCAGCCGCAGTGATTGCTGTATACGAAATTTGCGACAATTAGTTACTGAACCATATCATAGTGGCATGTAATGGCTAATTATAAAAAAAGAATAGGATATATCATATATATATATAATTATATATATAAATACATATCAAAGTCCAATCACTTGCAGCAGTTCTGGCGCGTCACTGGGCTCCTCAGTTGGGTTCTTTTTCAGTCGTGTGCCTCTCGGCGCCGTCGACCCAGCAAAAGGGTTGTACGTTTCCTGGGCTGCGCCAAATTGCGCCTGGATCTGGGGATATCACTGGGTTGTTTTCCATACGGAACCTGGAGGTTCATCCATGGAATTTCTACGCATGATTTGGGACATGGAAACCATGGAAACCAGAGTGCCAAGGTTGGCTCTCCTGAGCACATTCCTGTTTTTTTTTTGCAGCGAGTCGTGACCCAAAGTTTTTGATTTGGATGACCCAAGGCATATTCAAGACTATTCTCGCGTGGCTTGGGACACTTAGTGGAACAATCAAATTCAATTGATGGGAAATAGATTCTAATAAAGGTTTGCATATCAAGTTACCCCATTCCAATGCAAATGCCCCACTTATATGTGTGTGAAAAACGATAGAACAGTGGGCAATTTCACACAGGACAGGTATTCGATGTATATGACATATTTTAATAGTCTGTGTGTGTGTGTTGCAAATATGTTGATGTTATACAAAAACAATATTGAAATAAGACATGACATATTGAAAACTATAAACATGATATGCACTACTTAATACTCAATATAAATTTGTCTATATTAGAGGAAAACTACGAATATAACTAAATCCAAAATATGATGTGTATATATATATATATGCATAAAATGTATACAATGTGCACGTATATGGATATATATATATATATGGGGGATCTCCAGTCGCCATACAGATTTCAATACTATTCAATGGTCTATTTTTGGATGATTCTGAGGTATATTTAAACCTCCATATATGATATTTATATACTGGTTGGTGGTTTCAACCATTTTGAAAAATATGAGTTCGTCAATGGAAAGGATTATCCCACATATTATGGAAAATAAAACATGTGTGAAACCACCAACCAGTTTAGAAAGCCCCCACATATCATAGAATTGGATGATGGGAAAATTTACAGGAAAGCCCTATATTTGATGGTAAAAACCATGGTTTCCTGTAGGTTTTCCCTTAAACCAATCCATTGAACATACCAATGATGCAAGTCATCCTCAGAGAATATGCCCGTCTTTCCCCGCCCCAGTTTCTGCGGATGCGGAAGCCCAGGAATTGAGACCTGCACGGAGTCCAGGTGCTGATTCTTGCACAAACATAACTAACGTACACACACATATAATATATATATATATATTTGTTATTATTACTGTTATTATTACTATTATTATTATTACTATTATTTTGTTTTATTATTATTATTATTATTGTTATTACTATTGTTATTACTACTATTTGTATTGTATTATGCTGTACATGTACTGCATATAATGTAAATATATATATATTATTGTTATCTATTATTATTATTTTATTATATTCGTATTATCGTTATATAAGTCTGTGTATATATATACAAAGACATACCAAAACATAATATAATTATGTGTGCGTACATGTGTACACACATATTACACACTACATGATGAATTTCAGAAGGCAAGGGATGGATTGCTCACGTCATTGGACACAGTACGTCCAAATTAAATGCCTCGTTTCGTCTGACATCAGTTTGGGTCAAATCACAATTAAGGTTTTGGGTGTTTACTGTAGCGGTCAGATGCGTTTAAGTGTTTTCCTTTTCTTTTGTCTTTAGGATGATTCAATGATAGGGTTTAGGATGACTTGCGCAAGGACGCACAAATCCCCTACCTGAACTTTTCCGGAATGCCAGGATTGTCCATAATTTACATTACCCTCTGGTAAACTAAGATAACTATGGAAAATCACCATTTTTAATGGGTAAATCAACTATAAATGGCCATTTTCAATAGCAAACTGTTAGTTTACCAGAGGGTAATCCACTGTTTTGAGAGTGCCACGGGCAAACGAGGTCTTGGGCTGTAACAAAAGGGGGCCCCTTGTTTCAGTGTGCGTGATATGTTTGGAAGGACACCACAGTGTCCTTAATGATACACAATTCATCTGCAATGCCCTGTACAGAAAGCATCATTGTCGCAGGAATCATGTGACCCATGTCCTCTAGACGCCCAGCCACCATCACTTGGAATGAACAAGGGTGGACTACTCGTCATTGTCGATTTCCTGCGGCAATTCCAACTTGAGCTCACCTGGTTTAGCAAAGTTTAGCTGATTCCTTTCCAATGCCCTGAGTGGATCAGCAAATGTCCATTTGATTTCCTGCTTAAAAGTCTTAAAATAGGAAACAAGTCTTCAAGTGCTTGGAGTGATCTTGCAATGTCATATGGGGCATCGGGTGATCTGACATGATTATCCTACATGAACATGAGGAAAGAATGGGAAATAAACAACATATACCAACTGATGTGAGATAATGTTTAGATGATATATAGATCGTGTTAGAAGTTCGATGATCATCCGCTTTGGGATTCGGAATGATCTGCAGATCATGACATGCTGCTCTGGTTTCACAATTTCTGATGGTAAAATATGTGGATATCTCTGAGAAAGTCGGATATACCCCCAATTGGGGTGTTTTTCACAAATTTAAATCTCTATTGTTTGGGTCATGTTCATTCATTTTCCCTTGAGGACATACGCACCGACAACATATAATGATGAAGCGATTTTGGGGTCCCCGGTTGACACGCCCATTGGTTATGCTCACCAGGATTCTTCACCGTTTCTACTCGGGTAAACCCAGTCATGAAACAGACCCCTCACATAAAAGAGACCATTTGGGTATCAAAACCCCTCACATCAAGAAAAGTGATATGAAAACTGTTTGGGTTTACCGTCCAGTAAATGTACACAAATATGGAAGAACCATGGGAAGCCGGTAGGATAATGATCTACATCCATGGTGGGTATTCTCTACATTAGTCACTGAAGCACACCATTGATTACCATATTATTCACTGCAAGTTTCCTCTACTGATTCAAAAGTTGGTTTATACAAAAGTATAAACACATATATAAACACCATATCAACTATAGTTCGATATAATATGAATATACGATCTAAATATGTTGCCACCATGAACCCGAGATTTCACATCCTTTCACCTATGTTTCTCTACCGCAACGAGAAGGCGCATCTCCTCATGTAGAGCGTTCGGAAGGCTTGCGGGTCGAGAGGCGGTCCTGAGAAAATTCCCATCGGCACAATTTCCAAAAAAGGCACGACTCAGATGTCGCAGAATATATCCAGTGCATCATGGCTGTACATATGGTGTATATAGATTAAATATATATATATATATTGTATATATATATATTATATATATATTATATAAATATATATATATATATTATTACATTTATATTTATATATATAAATATATTATATTATATATTTATATATTATTATAAATTTTTATATTTAATCATATAACATATCATATTAAGATGATTCAATGACATTTCGGACATATAGTGACATATGATATGTATATATATATATGTGTGTGATATGTAGGCAAAAAGAAGATATTTGTGCATCACATCTTGGTCATATACTACCAAAACCGTGAGTGTCATCATCATCATCATCATCATCATCATCGTCATCATCATCATCAGCGCCCCTGCTTTCCAGGCATCGGACATTTGAACATCGCCTGCCTTCCATGTCACCCCACTGAGGCTGTTGCGTTTCATGGCCAAACGGTCATGTGGCGCCGGCTGGCCTCCAATGCGTGGTCTTCGGGAGCATTACTGACCACATTTTCGGGGATTATTTTGCTTCATGTTTGTACCCGTGCCCATGTTAGGCTTCTCACAAACCATAAACCCATATGCACACATACACACACACATATATATATATATATATATATAGAGAGAGAGAGAGTAAACCATTGTAAACCACGGTGAAAACTCATACAAACCCATTAAGGAAACAAACAAAACCTCATAGCTTCACTAAGTACGGCATATTAAAGTCTATAGTTGGGCTATTAAAGCAAATTTAAGACCATATAAGACTCTTTACCATCCCCGCCACAAACAGGTTGATCCTGAGAATAGCGGATCTTTTGATAAGAAAGTAGTCCTCCAACTCCCTATGAATGGCAGGGTCATTAAATTCAATCAATCTCAATTTGCCCCCAGAGTATGACCGTCATGTTGCTTTCCCTTTAAAATCCCATCCTCCTAATCCCTCCTCGTTGATAATATTAAACATCCACAGAAACAATGGCTTAGTAGGGCATGTGCATTCTCAAATAGTTGGGGATTAATTAGTGATTAGATCTTGTTGTTTGGAATGATACAGTAATATGGACAAACATGGGGTAATCAATGAAAACCATCAATAAATGCTGGTGTTATTCTCCGCTAATTTCACATAGCTATCGCAAATCATCATTTCTAGTTGATTTACCATCTGGTAAACTAACATAGGTGTTGAAAATGGCCATTTATAGTGGATTTTCCCATTAAAAATGGTGGATCTTTCCATAGTTATGTAAACGTTTACCAGAGGGTACCACATGAAACAGTGTGATTTTCCATGGCAATCTGCAACAAATTACCAGAAACCAACCATCCCATGCTGCTTCCCACACCGTGGCGCACCTGATGTGCCATGCACGCGCTTCAAGCTTTGCAGGCTTTCCGAGCGATACATCCTGGTGCTTGGTATCAAGACAGATGTCATATAGTAATATAGATGTAATATAGGTAAAATATAGATGTGTAATATAGTATATCATATAGATATGATATAGGTACAATATAGATGTGTAATATAAATACAATATAGATACAACATGAATATTCATAGGTGTAACATAGGTAAAACATAGACATAACTTAGATATAACATAGATATAGCATGGATAAAAAATAGGCACATATATATATAACATAGATAAAACATAGGCATATAGATATAACATAGATATGAAGTAGATAAAACATAGACATAATATAGATATAACAAAGATATAACGTAGATATCATTGGATATAATATAAAAATAGATAAAACATAGGTAAAATATTATGTATAATATAAATATAATAGAGATATAATATAGGTTCAGTAAAGATATATTATATCTATATAGGTATAATATTTGCAATGTAGATATAACATATGGATGTGATACATGTTTAAAAAAAAAAACAAATAATATTATAAATATACTATAGATATAACATAGATAATATAGGTATAATATAGCTATAATATATTAGGATTTTATCTATTCATTTCGGTTTCCCAGATATACACGGATATGAAATAACTCAATGAAGATAGAATATCACCCCATTATATCTTTATTATGCTATGACACTGGGATTGGAATTGTTTGGATAAAAAAAACAATATCGCTGCGTGTGTGCTGTGAATTCAACAGCTTTAAATACTAGGGATATAATACACACAAATGTGTGTATATATACATAATTAATCATAATTATATAATAGGCTAGCAAAATTAAGCAATTAGCTGGGATAATTGGATAATCAGTGTAATCGAATAACAACATCGATGGGATGGTAGTTGGAATCTACTGGGAACATACCAGAATCTAGAAGCACATGTAAGTATGGCAGCATGCAAACAGCAATAGGGATACTCATGGCACATCAATATCATTAATGAAGTACAATTATATACCCTCCGGTAAACTAACATAGCTATTGAAAATGGCCATTTATAGTCGATTTACCCATTAAACATAGTGATTTTCCATAGTTACGTTAGTTTACCAGAGGGTAATAATCGCATGATTGGTTTATCCTAGAATCTGGGGGGAGGAAATTGGAGGAACGCCTGCGTGGCATACTTCGCCGCAAAAAAAAAAGGATGGTTTCCTGCAGGCTTACCCTTAAGTCAACCCAATGAACCCTCCAACGATGACACCAAGACCCTAAAAGGTAGGGCCCCCCTAGAAAGCTAAGTTGGTAAGCTGGTTAGCCAGGGCTTATGGGGGATGTAGCTACAGTTCCAGCAATAACTGGGTGGCCGTGGCCCCACAAAGGCCCCATAGTTCCCATCCCAACCCTCGGCAGCGCCTTGGCTTCCGACTTTCTTGGAAGAGCAAATCCAACTTTGCTTCAATCTTGGCTATGGCCTTAGCCGCGAATTCTGATTGAATGCTATTGAAGTGGTACCATTCTAATTCTAGTGCAGTGTTGAGATGATACTGAAGATGGCTATGACTTCAGGATTTTAACTTCCATTCCAGAAGTTGGAATATTTGGAATATCACCCCTGTAGCCTGTACGGTTAGATACGGTTAGATATTACACATCCACTTATAATTGGAAATGCCTCCCAATTACGGTATCTCAGGGTGAAAAATCAGCGATGTGACATGGTCACCCACCGGGATTTCTTGAATGGAAAAGAAATACAGGCTGAAAAGCAACAAAAACATCTTGGGATGCTTATCCAAATGATGCAGGGGTCCAGCTATGGCTTATGGCCTGCTCAAGAAAGCGAAGTGGCGATCCCTACTGGTTCTTTTTCATTCCCATGCATCTTTCGATGACTGACCTCAGACTGACCTCCTTTTGTGCAGTCGCACTTGGTTTGATATGTTTATATCGTTTCTTCCATTTTACTTACTGTACTACTGTACATTAATCTAATTTGAAGCCGCACCACCTCGCTTTGGACCTCTGTGGGCACAGAAGGAAAGTAGCTCCGCCAGCAGACTACATGTCAGTTGCAAAAACTGAAGCGGTCGCTCATATGCCTTTATAGATAGATATTCATATGTATATTTACAAATATATATAATATATATATATATATATGTATATATGCATATATATATATACACGCATATATACATATACATATATATATAATTATATATATATATTTATATATAATTATATATGTATAATTATATATATAATTATATCATATTATATCTCTCGCTTTCTGTTTGCAAACATGTGTGTGTGTGTAATTAAACTATGAATTAGAATCATTTGCCAGTGAAATATAAAGAGCTGATACACCCTATCACAGCTCGCCAGCTAGGAGTAGCTAGCGGTGATGCACTCTGGTAAACTACCATAGCTATTGAACATGGCCATTTATGGTTGATTTACCACATAGAAAATTGTGATGTTCCATACTTATTTTAGTTTACCAGAGGGTAACGGAACATCTCCTCTTTAATAGGATGCAACTATAAATATTATAAATGATAGGCCATGATTCAATAGCAAAGTGTTAAATTTCACCATCCACTCCCATCGCTCGTTCTCCGGATCTGGGCAGTCGTGACTGCCTGAAGTGAGATGTCTACGGACTGCTCGACAGCCGCATCGACCGCCCTGAGAGTTAAAGGCCATCAGTGGCCTATGGGAAAACCATCCCATTGGGAACAGCTTTGGCAATTTTTGAGCACAACTTAGCATAGTCCCCATCCTTGAGCAACTTCAGAAGCCATGGATGTGGGGTATATACCCTGGAATGATTTGTAATTCACAAACCCCTTACCTCTAGTAAACTCACATTTTTACACGGTATTTACCCAATTGAAAAGCCATGAACTTCCTTCAAACATCTAGAAATGGGTTACCGATTTCATTTCGAGGTACCCTCCGGTTATTTGACGTAGCTATAGAAAATCACAATTTTATAGCTAGGTAAACCATCTATTTCTATGGCGAATTTTCCATAGCTATGTTAGTCATAACCGAAGTCTCAGAGGGTAATGACAATTTGCAACACCTGTGGTTTACTACAGAGATTTTTTAGATCTGTGGTTTTTCATGCCAAGCCGCGCCATGAGGCCCTTGTCTGCTTCCTAAAGGGCTGAGATTTTGGGACTGCATCAAGGCCACACAAAGAAAAATCAATGTTGGTTAATGTTGGTTAATCTAATAATGTATATATATATACATGAATTTTCCAAACCGCTATCAACCATCACAAGAACTGCTTGGTGGTAGTTTTAACCATCTTGAAAAATATCACTTCGTCAATGGGAAGGATGACATCCCATATGAAATGGAAAATAAAATTCGTGTTCCAAACCACCAGCCAGTGAAAGAAGGTGGTTTAAGGATGGTGCCCTCAATCGCCCTACGACGATCGCGATGGGATCACCAAATTCGCCTGTCAAAACCATCCTTCCAATAGCTCTGTTCACCTGAAAAAATGCCTCAGTTAAACATGATGCGCCACCCCAAACAACATCAAACAACCAATCATTCATCGTTACATAATATATATTAATCTATCATAATATTACATATTCATCGCTGGGGTTTCACTGGGATCTCTATGGATCTCTATGGATCTCTGGCGGCTTTTCGTTTCTGCAAGCTGTTTTCAGCTGTTTTCTGGCGAGTTTCTGCGTGGCTTTTGCTGTAGTCTGATGGCACACGTGTCATGTGGGGCGACCCGGATGGCTCCTCGGCGCAGCGAAGCAATGCTAAGCAACGAAGTGCATGGATTCTGGATCAACATCGTGTGCAATGCAAAGGGCATGGTCCATCACTACACCAGGGATGACATCAGCAAGTGTCCTACGGCCAAAGCAGTGTCCTACATCAAGAATGATCAATTACGACCCATCTCCGCTCTGATGCAACCATTGATAGAATATCCTTCCAAAAGAAAAACACTCACCCATTTTCCATCCCACTCTACCAAACAAAAACGCACATATTCCATTGTATTCCCATAAATCATCACCACCCCCAACCTTTCCAACTCAACAAAAAATAACCATACCCTCATACCCTCCATTGAAACAACATAGGCCCTGAATATTGGATTTTATTTTAGTGTACGTCCAACCCCCTATGAATCAATGGCAGGGTCTATGTTTATTGAACGGATAGTAACTAAAATTCTCCCATTATATCCCATAAATCCGATATAAGAGTATTCCCATGACACTCCATTTAATCCTATCAAATCCCATTGTATTATCCCAATAAATCCCATGATGCTCCATTACTGTACATCTATTGTACCGCACTAAAATGCAGTAAATCCCATTAGATTCCGTTCTATCGCATTACTGTATGTCCAAAATGATACTCCATCAAATATATTAAATTCCATCATGTCCTGTTCAATCCCACTATACTCATAATATACTAATATCCCATTCTACTCCATTAAATCCCATTAAAATCCCATTAAAATCCCGTTAAAATCCCATTAAAACCTCCATGAAATCTCCCAAGAAATCCCAACCTTTCCCACCTCATCCACGGCCCGCACGACCGGTGAGCCGGAGGCATCTTTCGCACCCGGTTTCAGGTTCAGCTCCAAGGCCAGGTCATCGATGCGCCCGGCCAATTCGCGGAAGCATTCCACCGAGAGGTCGTAGAGATCCTGTGGAGATCCGTATATAAAACGCCAAGGAAGCCGTTAAAAGCCATGGGAATCTACAGATTTCAGCATTGCTAGTTCATTTTTTGGGGAAGATATCATCCTTTTTTTTTCCGGAAACCTATAATTGCCATTATCTGCAGACTGGATTTTCGCTAGGGGAAAATCTACTTGCGGCAGATTTTGGGATTCAGCAGAAATCAGATTCGATTTGGATATGGCCCCGGATTCCATGAAAACTGCCGCGTATTCTAGGGTTCGCGTGTCCGGTTCAGAAAAAATTAAGGAACTATAGGGAACTATACCTAGAGACTCATGTATCCAAAATTTCGGGCGCATTCCCAACCTACAAAAAAATCAGGCGCAAGTCCACAAGAATGGCGCAATGTAGAAAACATGGCGCAATTCCACAAAAACGGCGCAATGGAAATTCTGCACGGGCAAGGACGGCGCAATCACGGGCAAAAACGGTGCAATCATTGGCAAAAACGGCGCATTCCAACACCAAAATCTAAAACCATATTTGTTTCCCAAAGAACGGCGCATGCCAGAAATTTCAGCGGCAATCAGATGAAACACTGTTTTGCTAGACCAGCATCAAAATTTTGATGCCGCTCGAGTCTCTAGGTATAGTCATCCCCAAATAGATGGAAAAGTAAATCCCTACTAATTTGATGGTGATTTACTTTTCCATCTATTTGGGGATGACTATAATTATACCGTTATGTGGGGATATGGGGATATCAAACCGGATACATACGCATCATGCATGTATAATTATAATTAATTATACACATGAACCAACAATATATGTAGTTTGCGGGGTCAAACACCCCCAGGCATCTGCGAGGCGTCCGTGGCACAGATTGAGGACATGGGCGATGGAGTTAAGTAGCTGGTGACTGCATAGTCACAAGGGATACAATGGGTCAAACACACAACAATCCCAGTTACTAACCAAAATAAACCAAAATAAATATATGATATTATATGATTTTGATTTGGGATATAAAACATATAAAACATTATAAAACCCAGTTCCTAACCAAATAGCCTATCCCCTGGCCCATCTAAACAGAAGGAAAGCTGCCCCAATCGGCCCCAATCCCCCAACCAGGAAAATATATCACTTGACCGCGGACAACAACAGCAAATACCAGTCAAGTATCATCGGCTAAGTCAGGTCCAACAAAATATGCCCCACCTACCTTCTTTGAGAGATCTCAGCCAATTGAGGTTTTATCTGCCATACAATATACTGACATGCTATCATATCTGACACGGTCAGGGTTGCTCCCAACAAAATCTGACATATCTGCCGGGTTCTGGCGACTGTCAGCTAGCAATCGAGGAGGAGAGGAGAGGACGAGCAAGGTCAAAGTATCGTAAATCAGGTAAAAGCTTGAGACCCTCCACCTACCAGGGGGACACATTACATCTTCGAAACACCAACAACGCTCTTCTCATTGGTTATATAAGCCATTTATGGAACGGTTCAGAAATCCACCTCCAAAATCTCACTGGCAAAGGTGCCTCTTGAAGGTGCATGGACTGCAGCATGTTGTATTTGATGAAGCGTGGTGCTGTCTTGGAATCGTGGGCCCACCTAGCGAGACGGAAGGACTGAAAAACAGTGCCATGGTGGGACATGTTACCTGCACATATTACATATCTATATCAATATCTATATATATATATATTACATATGCAATATCTAAATCATGCTACGATATATGTATTCAACATGATGTATATAGACATATACAGTTACAAGTATGAGGAAAAATGGATTCCTGACACCTGCTTGAAGCCAGCACAAGGCAGCCCAGTAGGGCTGGGATCTCTACCGAAGTGTCGCTCACGTTTGTTGACGTGGCCGCTAGATGACACGGCCAAAAACGGGTATGGGCCCGGGGTGCCCGGGGTGCATTTTGGTGGTGAAAGGCGTGTGTGTATATGTATGTATATATGTGTATGTATATACATATGTTCGAGGCTTCTTAAACTTAGGAATCCCCAAAACCATGGGTTTCAATACTCTCAAATTTGCTAAACTGGTATAATTTTGGATGATTTGAGGTGCCTCCCATTTTGGGAAACCTCCATATACTTATAGTATAGTACTCACTCATAATAATTGCTCAGATACAACATGCAAATACATCTTGGGCGTCATTTTATCAACTTAAAATGACTCGGTTCGAGGATCCACCACATAGGTGTCCCCGGACTTGGTGAGATCAGGAGAGACTCAAGCGACTCACCCCTTCAAATACCTGTTGCTCTTGGGGCAGTACAGTAGGCAACTGTTGGCAGCTAGAAACCCAAAAACATCAAAGTGACTGAGGTGATTTCCACCTACATTTCCCACAAACCTTGGTCAATTTTTGCCTTGGGACCTATCTGCTAGATTGACCTGTGGGCACCGGCAATCACAGCGACCCTCTCCAAGTGCACAAATAAAATGTTTTTTTTTACAATGACAAAATTCAAAGGATGGTAATAAAACCATTTATATAGTATCAACATAAGCATGTTTAAAATCAAACCATCGAAAATCATCAGGACACTTCGGTGAACAAGTACCGTTAGTGGGAGGGTGGTCACCCAACATCCCACACACTGGGCTCTAAGTCAAAGGAAACCTGCGGGAACAACGCAGGTTTTTGACTTCCTATCCCCACATTATATCATGTTTTTTGTTTTTGTTAATTCTCAGGGCTGGGGAAAATCCCCAAGACTTTAGAGGCTTCATTCCGAAAATCCTAATATGGTTCATGTTCCACAGCAGCAAATGACCCACTTCCGCACCTGCTCAATGGTCCAATAAACTCAGCGATTTCAATGGTTCCAGACCTGGGCTCCCGAGGTTAGTTAATACCAGTTACCTGCCAGTTACCATCTATTGGCGCGCCCAAATTCATCAGAAATGCATGAACAGAAAATCTATCATCTATCTATCTTTCTATCTATATGTCTATCTATCTATCTATATCTATCTATATCTATCTAAATCCATCTATATCTATCTATATCTATCTATATCTATCTATATCTATCTATCTCTATCTATGTCTATCTATGTCTACCTATGTCTATCTATGTCTATCTGAGTTTAAATTTATCTATACCTATCTATATTTATGTAAATCAATGTAAATCAATGCATGTCTATCTATCTCTATCTATCTCTATCTATCTCTGTCTATCTCTACCTATCTCTATCTATCTATCTATCCATCTATCTATCTATCTATCTATGTCTATCCATCTAACTATCTATCTACCTACCTATCTATATCTATCTATCTATATCTATATCTACCTAAATCTATCTATATCTACCTAAATCTATCTATATCTATCTATATCTATCTATATCTATCTATATCTATCTATATCAATCTAAATCTATCTGTATCTATCTATATCTCTCTATCTCTTTCTACTCTATCTATCTCTATCTATCTCTATCTACCTCTATCTATCTCTATCTATATCTATCTATCTCTATCTATCTCTATCTATCTATATCTATCTATATCTATCTATATCTATCTCTATCTATCTCTATCTATCTCTATCTATCGCTATCTATATCTATCTCTATCTATCTCTATCTATCTCTATCTAGCTCTATCTATCTCTATCTATCTCTATCTAGCTCTATTTATCTCTATCTATCTCTATGTATATCTATCTATCTCTATCTATCTCTATCTATCTCTATCTATCTCTATCTATCTCTATCTATCTCCATCTATCTCTATTTATCTCTATCTATCTCTATCTATCTCTATCTCTATCTATCTCTATCTATCTCTATCTATCTATCTATCGATCTATCTATCTATCTACCTATCTATCTGTCTATCTATCTATCTATCTATCTATATTTTTCTATCTATCTATCTATCTATCCATCCATCTATTTATCTATCTATCTATATATCTATATATCTGTATCTATATCTCTATCTATCTATCTATCTATCTATCTATCTAATCTATCTATATATCTATATCTATATCTGTATCTATATCTACCTATCTATATCTATATCTATATCTGTATCTATATCTGTCTATCTATCTATCTATCTATATCTATATCTACCTATATCTATCTATATCTATCTATATCTATCTATATCTATCTATATCTATCTATATCTATCTATATCTATCTATATCTATCTCTATCTATCTCTATCTATCTCTATCTATCTCTATCTATCTCTATCTATCTCTATCTACCTCTATCTATCTATCTATCTACCTATCGATCTATCTATCTATCGATCTATCGATCTATTGATCTATCGATCTACCGACCTATCGATCTATCGATCTATCGATCGATCTATCGATCTATCCATCTTTCTATCTATCTATCTGTCTATCTGTCTATCTGTCTGTCTGTCTAATTTATCTATCTAATATATCTAATCTATCTAATCGATCTAATCGATCTAATCGATCTAATCGATCGAATCGATCGAATCTATCTAATCTATCTAGTCTATCTAATCTATCTAATCTATCTATCTAATCTATTTATCTAATCTATCTATCTATCTGCCTATCTATCTGCCTATCTATTTATCTATCTATGCACTCTTTGTTTCTTGAGGTCACTCCCCCGAAAGAATCACCGGCAAAATCATCAGAATCTGGACCGTCTGGGCATCGGGGATAACAAGATTGTCGAACCAAAGTCTGATCAGAAAGGGCCTTGTCCAAAATTGATCATGAATAAGTGGTTGACACAATAAGTGGTTGGTGGTTCTAACAATCTTGAAAAATATTAGTCAATGGGAAGGATTATCCCAGATGTTAATGTTCCAAATCACCAACCAGATATTAGACCATAAATCACCATAAATAGCTGGTATGGTTACCAGTTCCAAATGGCTGGCTTATGGCATTGTTTTACCCACATTGAAAGGTTTCCCCAAAACTGGAATGTTTTTAGAACATCATGTTCCACATGAAAATGGCCATAGGTTATCATAGGTTGTCATTGGTAGGATGTAAGCCCCCCTCCCTTTTCACAGACCCAAACGAGCCATGAAAAATACCTACATATCCAAATAGACTGGAATTGCTATCCTTTTCTGGTTATCATCATCCCCACTAAACTAGGTAGTAAACCCCCTATGACACCGAACTATAATGGAGGTTTTTGGCTAGGGAACTCATCGTACTTGGGGGATTTTCCAGCGAGCCATGTTTGATGGGAGGGTAGCCTGGAAATTACTGGAAATTACGGTCTCCCTATTATGGGCGATCGTAATTCCCAATAAACTATGTAGTAAAACCCCGTAGTAGACAATCGATCCAAAATGGGATGACTAGCTACACAATTTAATGCTGTAGTTAAGTAATTAAGATGCTATATCTTAATATTAACTAAAACAAACATAAATAAAATTCAATAAACACAAATAAACTAGGTATATAATATAATTGATCAACCATGGTATTTTTCATGGCTCAACAAAAAAAAACATGCAGCCAACGAAACTGATCCGCGTCAATCATGTGAAAGAGCTGTTCAAGGTCCTGCTCATCGATATCCTCGGGATGCGATTTTTACCAGGGTGGAGCCGCTTGTACCAAGTTCTGCCTTCAACCGTCAGAAGAGGACATCCATATGTGAAGTCATTGTCCCCAAACCATGGGTTTTTATATTTTTTTGCCTAACAAATGGCCAAAAGCACCAAACTTGGATTCCTGACTTTTTTTTTGTTTGGTGCACACCTGAAAATTCGGCATGGAACGAAACTTTTTGGTGGTTTCAACCTGACAATTTTAAGTCATTGGGGTTCATCATCCCAAATATGGTTCAAAATAAATCATCTGTTCGCATATGTGCGAGATGATTCATTTATGGTTCGCTGGTGAGGGCCAGCACAGCAATGTCGCGTTCTCTCCCACATGACCCCTTTGTCTCTATATCAAATCATTTTTTTTGGGGTAACCGGGTAACCTCCCTCATTGATCAACGGGCTTATTTACTTCAAGATTCAGCACTAATTTAACATAAAACAGTTTGCTAGCTGGAAACCATGGCCCATTTAGTTGGTTGATTTGCCATATTTTACCTATGAAAAATAGATTTAAAAAAAAAAAAAAGTAATTTTCCATAGCAAACTCTTGGCTTACCAGATGCTACCCCATCCCGTTGGCCTGGAAAACCCATAGAGAACTGGTTGGTGAAACATGGAAACCCCTGTTTCTTGGAAATCATGATGTATTGATGACATCCCTTTACTTGAGGTTTATAAGAATCTATTGTACCCAGTGGCAAACCCCAATACCCAAATATATGATAGTAAATATTAAGTAAAACATTCCCATGAATTTTCTCAATCATGTGTCCATCACTCACTAATCAAGTCCCTATCTTTGGTCAATATCAAATGTTGGGATGTTTTAACCTCAATTTCTTGAGTTTTGCAACCCCTAAATTCTGCTGAGCTTAAACCCATGATGGATGAATGATTAGTGGTTAAGTCCCAATAAACATGATACATAATCATAGATCAATCAACCATTAATATAAAAGCCTAGAAGACCATATCAATCCCCAGAACGAATTGATAAGTCCATACTTAAATCCCTAGAACACCATTTAAATCACCAGAAGAAATTGATAAATCCACATGAATCCATAGAAAATCCCTAGCAAAACCAAAAAAATCCGTAGGCACAAAGGATAATTCCATATAAATCATTATGAATCCATTTATATAAATCCCTAGAAAACAATATGCTGTACAGGAAATCCGTAGAACAAAATCAAAAAACAAACGGCCCGTTGTGCCCGTTGTGCCCGGTCAGGAGTCCATGACCCTCAATCGGCTTTGGAAGGCTCGGTCGTGCCGTGCACCTGGCAGGACACAAAACGTATATTGGATACATAATATTCACAATTCACAATATTTTCATATGTGTGCTTAATAAAAACCATAATGATACTACTACTACTACTACTAATAATGACAATAAAAATATAGAATGATAATAATAATCATACAAATATATATATACAAGTTCAAAAAATAAATTATCTCTAGAAATGCATAATTAATTTTAATACATTAAAAAAAACATATCATATATATTCATATATGAGCATATGTGGTGCATCTATGAAACGTAAGTGAGGTGTATGCATTCTAGAGGCTATCATGATCTATAATGCAGGTCTAAATATGAAATGGCCAAGCTCGGCAACCAGAATATGACCACAGCTGACCTTGTTATCAGCTGATCTTGTCAGTTTTAGGCATGGCATATGCATGTGAAACGCGCCCAATTGTATGAAGCCTGGATTCCAAAACGGCTCGTCGATAGGCATAGACCACTCAAGAGGGAGAGCAGGAGAGAGGGAGGGAGCGAGAGAGAGAGAGAGAGAGAGTGAGTGAGTGAGTGAGTGAGCGAGCGAGAGAGTGTGAGTGAGAGTGAGAGTGAGGGTGAGAGTGAGAGTGAGAGTGAGAGTGAGAAAAAAAAACGGACAGATTGCAAAAGGTTGCTCAAGTATGCAGTTGAGTTTTGGGTCACTTGTAAAGCACTTCAAAGTTTCAGGGATCATCAAAATCTAGGTGCCACTATACTTCGAGTATGTCTGCAATCACCCAAAGGAAACACATGACCAAATGCTTGAACAAGCCCTTTTCACACATTTGACACAGCCGCAAGATTCCAAGCACTGGACCACTGGACCGTCCCGCCTTCAATCAGCTCGTGTAGGGTCAACTGTCCGCTTTTGTCTTTGTCGATCCTTGCAAAGAGCTTTGCTAGAGCTCTTCGATCATGCTCTATCTCATCTTCCATCTCCTCCGCAAGATTCTGGACATCATTTTGTCGCGCATCTGCAAACGTGTCCTTATTCCGTGCGCAGGCTAAGGAAAAAAAAGCAAATCAATACAAATCAAATCTGGCAAAAGGGGCATGTGTTCAATAATGTGCCGTAGATCTTTCAAACCGCGCCTCAGCGTCACATTTGGGGATTTGACCCGAATATTCAAAATATAAGCACCCCAAAAACATTCAAGGAACACATCAAATGTCTTCCAAAAAGGCCTTTAGTAGTCCTCTTTGCTTTGACTCGAAGGTGAAGCATCACTGGCCACTGGCATAAACGACATTTCGCAACTTGAGGCTTACAATTGAAATTGGATCTAAACATGGCAGTTTCCCCAAACAACATCAAACAGTTCTGCGGCTCAGCCATTCACTATGACCAGCTCCCCTGCCCCGGCAGTCGTCACCAGGCTTCTACCACGACAGCGACGATCAAATTCACTACGCCAAAAACAAGTGTGAGGAGTGAACCGACCTGTGACGTTGATCCCGAGCAAAACCCAGTGGTGTTTTTGTTGGTGCATGGCATAATTTTTAATGATATGGCCCTGGAATGCCTTTCTGTACATAGATATTGCACAAACAAAATATAACAACATGTAACGTAACATCTAGTTATTGCTAGTTTATAATATATATATATATACACAATTATATACATATGTATCTGTATGCGAAATGCATACATGCCATGTAATCATATATGTACATAGTGACTAAGAGAGACATAGAGCAAGTCATCAATCCGACTAGGCACCAGGCGATCGAAAAGAATGACTGAAGCCGACAAGAAAAAAAGGTCCCAGTTGAGCTTCACCCAGAAAGAAGAGAAAGCGCAGTTCAGATTTGTGCCCTAGACTCTAGACTCCTAGACCCTGAACCATTCAACATCATTCTAAACAATTCTAAACTCATCAAGAAAACACCTCAAAACATCTTAAAAGAAGTTCCATCCAGATGTTGCCATGGCACGAAAATGATTGCCGTGCCCGGATGTTCCTGGATAACCGGCACAGCAATCTCACCCCAACCGTCTCCTGGCGTGCTGCTGAAGCCCAGTTTGCTATGGAAAACTTGTTTTTTCATGGATGACTCAACTCTAATATGGCAAATGTCCACAGCATTCCATAGCTATGTTTGTTATTGTTAGTTTACTAACAGCATACCATGCATGATACATGCAATCCATGGATGTCCATGGAACATCTGTGACTTTCTTAGTGATGCACGATGACCTCATAGGCAAAGAACATATGAATTTGCATGAGATGGGGATGACCTTGGCGATGAACCATAATGAACCGCTTGAAGTAAACATGTACGGGAAACTATGTGATTTTTTGCATATGTTTTGCATCTTTGCACTATCCCCCCACTCTTGGGGGTCATATGTTTTGCATCTTTGCACTATCCCCCCACTCTTGGGGGTCCTTGAAATACCATTCACTGTGCTCAATGCGTGAAAATTTCACGTTCAATAATATGCCTGCAAATTTCCCAAACATAAAGGAACCTTTACTTAATTTTACAGAATCCAGAACTAAACTGGGGTTTCGTTTTGGGGGTATCAAAATTGAGGAAGGCAGGGTGTCTTTTTTTTTGCCACAGATCTACCATGATCTTACTGGCAGAAAACTGGGGCCAAGCATGGGCCAAGCACTCAAAAAATGGTCAACTATCCTATCAAAATACCAAGGGAATAGTGCCTTGACCCCTAAATTAAATTTGTTGTTTTTTTGTAGTGTGCAGTGTGCAGGGGCCATTCGACATACAACACTGCCGTTGCGGCGTGTCAAATGACACACCCCTAAAAACGTGCTGGTCAAAAACCCTCTGGTAAACTAACAATTTGCTATGGAAAATCACCATTATTCATAGGTAAATCATGGTAAATCAACCAACTAAATGGGCTTCAGGTCGCAAACTGTTAGGAACACCAGCGGGTTCCTCGGCCCAGACGTCCTGCGATGACTGTTTTGAACAGCAAGAGATTTGCGTCCATGACCTGTGGAGCCGGCCCGGATCCTCAAAGACTCCAAATTCTGAGGCCAGATTCCGAAAGTGACCAGTCTGCCCTCTCCAAATTCTCCAATACCATGAAATATATAATATACAATATATATATATAGTATAATATATATGTATATATATATATGCACCAGGCCCTGCCACCCCCCCTCCCCCCCCAATGGGATGGGTCCCATATACTGCCTCCATATGACGCCCTCCCCTGTGGTGTGGTGGGGGTGTTGTATGGTGTTGCGTATGTATGGTGTGTATGGTCGGTCTGGTATGGCATGTTTGGAAAGTATGGTATGTTTGGTATCTATGGTAGGTATGGTATGTATGGCATGAATGGTTGGCATTGTATGGATGGTAGGTATGGTATGTAAGTCTGTTGGGTATGGTATGTTTGATATCACAGTATGTATGGTCTGTATGGTATGTATGGTTACTATGATGGGTATGGAATGTTTCATACATAAGGTAAGTATGGTATGTATGGCATGTATGTATGGCATGTATGTTTGGTATTGTATGCATGGGTATGCATGGTAGGTGTGGTAATTATGTTTCATATGTATGGTATGTGTGATATGTATGATAGGTATGATAGGTATGGTATGCATGGCATCATTGGAATGTATGGTAGGTACAGTATATGTTAAACACATGTAGTGTTGTCAGAGTACACAGGTAGTAAATAGGAAGTAGATACATAGCACATGAATATATGACTATAGGTAGCACGTAGGTACTTTGAGGGAGTATGTGTGCTACGTAGGTCGCCTAAAAGGTAGCATGTACCTAGTCAATGCGAGGCTGGTAGACAGAAATGCTGCAAAGACCTAGCAAATACGAAGCTGGACCTCAGAAATGCTGCCAATAGCTTGCAAATAGAAGGGAAGGGGCGGTGCTACCTGGGGACCCAACCCATTGGGGGGGGTGTGGAAAGAGGGAGGACGGGACCATATATGTATATATATATATGATATGATATATTAAAAAATATATTTTAAATGTAATATGAAAATTTATATAAATATATTAATATATATATATATTAAGTTGACAAAACATATGTATATTAAAACATATTACATATATATTTAAGCAATATAATGTATATATATATATATTTATTGATAATTATATATAAATATATTATATCAAATATATATTATAATATATAGATATATTGCAATATATATATGTGTATATTGTTATTTTATATATATAATGCAATTTATTTACTGTATGATATACACAAAATATCATATATAAAAAACAGAAATATATAGTATAAAAAAATGTAACGCTTAAAAAAAACATGATATAAATAATGTATATATATATATATACAAAAAAATAAAGTACATAACAAATACATAGTGTGTATATATACATTATAAAATAATGTATGTATGTACATATAATATAACAGGATATATATATATATATATATTATAATATGGAGGGTTTTCTGAAATAGGGGTTACCTCCAAATCACCCAGTTGATTTTCGGAGTTTCCATTATAAACCATCCATTTTAGGAAACCTGAAAGTAAGTATATATATATATATTGATTGGCTCCAGAGAAGCCTGCATCATCTGCCACAACTAGGGCAGCTCTTGATTGACTGGTGGGCCTAGCTAAGCCCAACTATAAGCACTGACTTGGAGGACACAATAATTAGGTAATTATCTAGTGAGCTGCCTGATGTCACTAGGACGTTCTTTTTCTGGTCATATCCGATGTTGTTGCGTTTATGCCCACGTTCGGAATGTGACTGAAAATCATTACCCTCAAAGATGCGTGGGTAATTTTTTATGTGTGCGCCCTGTTATTTTATGGTTATTTGTCATCCATCCCCGAAATTCAACGGAAACAAATGGGCTTCACAGCTGATGTTCTTTCTGGAAATGACCCTTCTGGGGTACCAGGATGTTCCAAGTTAGACTTCAGCGCAATGAAATGTCCAACATGTGACGGAAGATGTGGCCCTTTGGCACTGCTCGCAATTTGCAAAGTGGCCCTCGGTCCTGTGCATGTCCTGGCGCAGAAACCCTGAAGGATTGAACGGGGAGAGGTTCCAAATCGAAGTCATTGGATCTAAGAATCTAATATGATCTAGTCCCTTCCCCAGAAAAAAAAAAAAACATCCCCCAGAAACCATGATTTTGCAGAGATACAATCACATGTTTAAGGGACCATCGTAATAAGGGTAGTGTTGGGTCGTTCTCCAACTGTCACCCTCCAGGTCAAAGCTGGAATGATTCAAACCAGGCGTGGTGAGGGTAACTTTGTCCATTGTGTGTGTGTGCGCGGCACACTGTGTGCGTGTGCTGTGTATGTATATAAATATATAGTCACACATATAACTGCTGCATGTGTAAATGTGTATATGTGGATATGTGTACATGTGTATAAGCGTAGATGTGTATATGTGTATATGTGTACATGTGTATAAGCGTATATGTGTATATGTGTATATGTGTATATGTATGTATGCATGCATGCATGTATGTAAGTTAGTTAGTTAGTTAGTTAGTTTGTTAGTTAGTTAGTTAGGTAGTTGGTTAGACTTCACACGTGAAACTTAGGACTTAGGATGTGGTTTGGGTTTCCAAGCATCCAAGCATTACATAATCATCCAACACTTGTATAGAATGTGGATGAATGTGGTGTATGAACATGTTAGTTGGATCACTATTTCGCCAACAAAAAACCCAACGGATCTTTCAAGCCAGGCATGAAAAAACACATGTACCAACCAACGGTGAAAAAACGGGTCCTGCACTGCTGGATAGACGATTTCAACCATCAACATGGCCCAGCCAGTCATCACGATGAAACACAGCAGGAAACACCAAAGAAGTGTTCCTTGGACAAGGGGCCTGGATAAGTTACAGTACATATATAAATTGGTAATATATAGTAAATATATTTATATATATAGTATATATATATAATATAGTATATATATATAGTATATATATATATAATATAGTATATATATATATATATAGTAAATATATAGTATATATATAAATATATTTACTATATATATATATTTATAGTATATATATATAAAGTAAATATATAGTAAATAAATAGTATATATATAAATATATAGTATATATATAAATATATAGTATATATATATATAAATATATAGTATATAAATAGTGTATATATACATATATATATGGTGTGTATATATATATATAGTATATATATATAGTATATATATATATAGTAAATATATATATAGTATATATATATATACATAGTGTAAATATATATATATAAATAGTAAATATATAGTATATATATAGTATATATATATAGTATATATATATAGTATATATAAATATAGTATATATAAATATAGTATATATATATAGTATATATATAGTATATATATATAAATATAGTATATATATAGAGTATATACATTTAGTCAAATATATATATATATACATATATATATATAGTGTATATATATATAATGTATACAGTATATGTAGTATATCGATTCACTAGCCTGAAAAGTCCAGCTATTTTATTGTGGGATATTTTGGGATATATTATATAATAGTTGCCCCTACAAAAACGAACATTCCGTAACATTCCAGTGACGTTGCCTTGTGAGGTCGTTGTAATTTATCCAGGATCAACCATCATTAAGAAACGTAGGGAACACCATGGAACAAAAGCATGCCAAAACCAGGGTTCGGTTTAACATCTGGAAACGGCTTCGTAACTCCCCATCTGAGCAATTCGTGGGAATCATCGCCCCATTTCCATGGTGATGAAACATCCGAAACCTGCAACATTTCAACCCAACCATCCAGAAGGGCCGACGTACGGACTGGCCGTGCGCATTGCACGCGCTTGGACAATTCGGTGAAAGCCATGGAAAATCCGAAACCACTGTGAAACAACAAGGCCGGAAAAATCAACCTCCGCCATTTGGTGGCTGTTCAAATCCAAAACAAAATGGCCGAACCAAATAACAAAAACAATGTTGATGGGCATTGCCTATGGAAAATTGAGCAAAGCTCTTCCAAAAGCACTTTACCCAGTCGCTTGGAATACCAGGAGCCCCCTCTATCTCAATGGTCACCCTCGGGATTTCCTCCTCAACCACCAGAGAAAAAAAGGGTGGTGCCAAATTGGTACAATGATCAACTTCACCATACCAAAATACCACCCCAAACAAAATGTTTGTGTGCTGGATCCATCCAGCCGCTCAACGAGTTAGAGGGACATTGACTCTTTTCTTCCAGACCGGCCGGAGCTCGCAATAATTTATCTGAGCCACTGAAAACTGTGGCCATCATCATGGCAAGCTTGTACAACCTCAACCGCCACCGGTAGCTGAATCCTGATAGAAACAAAACAGAGAAAACTCAACAGGGGAATCTAATTTGTTGGGCAAAATGATGGTGTCAATTTCTGGTTTCCCCAACAGCATCACGATTCTTTCACAAGGATGTCGCAGGATGCCTACCTCCCTCGTCTCACTGAAGGACGTCTGGGAAAAAATCAACCATATTAATATTCCCAGATGCTCCATCTATAGTATATTTACCTACATTTGGGCCAGTTGTTGGGTAAATGTAGGTAAATATTCCATACACGGAGCATATGGGATTAATAACCATTACAGCCAATTAAAAAGGGAAATGTCCCATGATCTCTAAATGGTGGATGCACGGTGGATATTCCATGTCTGTTTGCCGGTGTTCAAATGTTCAAACATTGACCGAAATCGGTGAGAGGATTTGCCTGCGGTGTTTCCCAACATCACTATGGTCTTCATTTGTATGAACTTTGGTCAGCCAAACTGCCAAAGCTAGGTTAATATATAGGTTAATCGGCCAATCTATGGGCCAATGGATATATTGGGTGATGTGATATCTCTCTCTCTCTCTCAGCACCTTAGCCTTCCAGTTGCCTTCGATAGGTAACCAGGGTGATTTTACCAGACATGATATTGGGTTTTCGCGGATCCCCCAAGGAGTTGGTTAGATACAGATCGGCAACTAATGACGGACTCCAACAACAAATATAGATACAGATCGGCAATAATGGATACAGATCGGCATAGATGTATAATTCTGATCCAATTGCCCCTGTTTTCATTGAACCACTAATTAGGACAAACAGAAAGGATTCACTAGACGACGGATGGCCCGAGAGCGTAGAGGAGCAGGGTCTTCTCTTGTTAGTATGGAGACACAATTTTACAAACAATATATGAAAGATGTGTTACTAGTATAGTGAGAAGTGCAAGACAATAGTTTGCATCGCAAACACTTTTACACACAGACGCTTTTACACACAAAAGTTTTTACACACAGAAGCTTTTACACACAGAAGCTTTTACACAGAGGCTATTGCACACAAAGCTTTTACCCACAGAAGCTTTTACATACAGACGCTTTTGCACACAGATGTTTTTACACACAGACGCTTTTACACGAACACTTTTACACACAGACACGTTTACACAGACACTTTTACACACAGACCTTTTTACAGACAGGAGCTGCTTTTACACACAAACGCTTTGACACACAGAAGCTTTTACACATAGACGCTTTTACACACAGGCACTTTTACACACAAACATTTTTACACACAAACACTTTTACACACAGACACTTTTACACACAGAAGCTTTTACACACAGACGCTATTTACACGCACAGAGACGCTTTTAGACACATCGCAATTTTACTTCAGTTTTTGGCGATCCAACCTCATTTCGTGCGAAAGGGACATGCGACAGGGTTGCGCGGGACAAGTTGAAATCGCAATTTTACCTCAGTTTTTGACGATCGAACCTCATTTCGTGCGAAAGGGTTGCTTGAAATCGCAATTTTACCTCAGTTTTTTACGATCGAACGAAAGGGTTGCGCCGGACCACTTGAAATCGCAATTTCACCTCAGTTTTTGACGATCGAACCTCATTTCGTGCGAAAGGGTTGCGCCGGACCACTTGAAATCGCAATTTCACCGCAGTTTTTGACGATCGAACCTCATTTCGTGCGAAAGAGTTGCGCCGGACCACTTGAAATCGCAATTTCACCTCAGTTTTTGACGATCGAACCTCATTTCGTGCGAAAGGGTTGCGCCGGACCACTTGAAATCGCAATTTCACCGCAGTTTTTGACGATCGAACCTCATTTCGTGCGAAAGAGTTGCGCGGGACAAGTTGAAATCGCAATTTTACCTCAGTTTTTGCCGATCGAACCTCACTTTGTGCGAAAGGGTTGCGCCGGACGACTTGAAATCGTAATTTCACCTCAGTTTTTGACGATCGAACCTCATTTCGTGCGAAAGGGTTGCGCCGGACGACTTGAAATCGCAATTTTACCTCAGTTTTTGGCGATCGAACCTCATTTCGTGCGAAAGGGTTGCGTTTCGTGCCGTCTCGTTGCCACTGCCTCTGCTCCCGCCTTCAAGAAAGAAATAGAAAAGAAGGAGAGGGCAAGAGGGCAAGAGGGCAAGAGGAGAAGGTGTGAGATGAGAAGATGTGAGAAGACGTGAGAAGATGTGAGAAGATGTGAGAAGATGTGAGAAGATGTGAGAAGATGTGAGAAGATGTGAAGATGAGAAGATGAGGAGAAGATGGGAGGATGAGAAGATGTGAAGATGAGAAGATGTGAAGATGAAAATATGTGAAGATGAGAGGATGTGAAGATGAGAAGATGTGAAGATGATTGAAGATGAGAGGATGTGAAGATGAGAAGATGAGAAGATGAGAAGATGTTTGACAGGCCCCCACTATTGGAAGAACCCTGCGCTCAGACGCTCTCGGGAACAAACCAGGATTTCTGATTATAAAAAAGGCAAAGGAATTATTTTGCACAGGGTATAATCTATCAACTTACAAAGCAAGACCACAAGTGATTTCCTAGCTAGAAACCTGCGTTTAGTTTGGGGATTTTCCATTGCCAGCCACGTTTGAGGACACCCGAGGCTAACATTTCTATTTTATATCATTATTAGATGATTTTCCCAGCTGGAAACCTCCATTTAGCTTGGGGATTTTCGATTGCCACGTTTGATTGCCGGAGGGTAACGGAACTGCACCAAACCTTCAACTAGCACCAAGGTGCTCGCGCAGGGCCCTCACCCGCTTAAGCAGCCGGATGGGGCGAAAGATGCGGACCAAACGTAGGACGCGTAGGACCTGCGCAATGCAGGGTACAGAAGCACACCGAAAAAAAAACAACAACAGGGGATATTACTAACTGGGGCTTGGCACTATGGAGTTTTATATGTATAATATGTATATATGGATGATATGAGGCTAAACACAAGCGACAGAAAATGATTTGATTTGCACAAGTTAAATTATAGAACAGAAGAGGGACCACCAGCGTGCATTTTTCACTGCGCAATGTTGGCCGTTAAATAACAAGCAAAAGGAACTAAATTAGCTGCAGAAGTGGCAGAAGCACTGAGTTCTGCAATGTCATATCTGCTGGATACCCTTGTCCGAAACTTAAAAAGAATGTGTGGGGATGTTTTCCCTTATTGATCATCATTCCAATAACGTGAGGTCATTGCAATTCATCCAAATCAATGGGATATTGATGGATAAGTAATGGATACCCTCACTAACCATCCAAATATCATATATATATACAGAAATGTATCATGGATTAGCATGGATACCAGTAGTACCGCACAAGGCGGTGGCGGATGTTTCAAAAATAGGAAACCTATAGGAGAGATTGGTTGTTGTGAACCACGGATGGCAGAGCGAATCCACTGATGGACCGACAGGTGGTTGGAGTTGTGTTTTCTGGAGTGGCTGCAATGGTTGCAGTGGTCACCTCACCGCAACTGCTGGATGTAGTGTGGTGTAGTGCAGTTGTAGTTGTAGTTGTAGGTGTAGTTGTAGCTGTAGCGTAGCGCAGTTGTAGATAGAAGTTGTAGTTGTAATGTAGTGTAATTAGTGTAGTGTAGTTGCAGTTGCAGTTGTAGTTGTGGTGTGGTGTAATTAGTGTAGTGTATTGTAGTGTACTGTAGTGTTGTGCACTGTAGCGAGGTATAGTGTAGTGTAGTCTGGCGTATTGTAGTGTAAGGTACTGTAGTTGTAGTTGTAGTGTCGTGTCGTGTAGTGCAGTGTGCAGTGTAGTGGTACTTGCAGTTGTAGTGAAAATGTAATGTAATTAATGTAGCGCAGTGTTGTCTAATGTAGTGTAGTTGCAGTTGTATTTGTACTGCAGTTTAATTAGTGCATTGTAGTGTAAAGTAGCGTAGCTGTAGCTGTAGCTGTGGTGGTGGTGGTGGTGGTGGTGGTGGTGGTGGTGGTCGTCGTCGTAATAGTAGTAGTAGTAGTAGTAGTAATAGTAGTAGTAGTAGTTGTTGTTGTTGTTGTAGTGTAGTGTAGTGTAGTGGTACTTGTAGTGGTACTTATCTATCTATCTATGTGTCTGTCTGTCTATCTATCTATCTATCTATCTATCTATCTATCTGCAAGCTTGAAAACGAAGCTATTCTGCGAGACCTCAGTTTTTAAACTTGACAACATTAAAAGCGCAGCAATTCAGCGAGACTTCCTCAATTTTTGAACTTGACAACGTCAAAAACGAAGCAATTCTGCGAGACTTCCTCATTTTTTGAAGTTGACAACATCAAAAGCGAAGCATTTCTGCGAGACTTCCTTCAAAAATGGAAAGTTGAGTGCAGAGCTGACGGCCTCGTACCAATGCGTTTTGCGATTTTTCCACTCCACCTGTCGAAAGTACTGCGCCTGCCACGAAAAATAGATGCCAGGTCATACGAAGTGCTGCACCTGTCACGCAAAATCATCTTAGGAAATCGACATATCTGATGCTCCAAAATGCAACCCCTCTCAGGAAATCAGCGCCCGGACCTCTTAACAGCTCTGATGAACATGTCTCTTGTACTGCGCCTGCCACGGAAAATGCATCTTTGCAGATCCTCTTCGAATGCCCCACACCTGCCATCGTTTTTGGAAATGCTACAAAAACCTCACGTTTTGCCCACTTTTGACAAGGTGCATAATCCCCTGCACCTGCCAGGCGCAACGAGATCTGAACGTCAAAAAGTGGTCCGAGCATGTGGTGTTTTTAACATTTTTACTTCGAAATTTGCTTCGCATCACAAAACGGCGTGCACTTTGCACTTTTTCGACATCTCAACTTCCAAGAGTGCTCCGAACATGAGGTGCTTTGCACATTTTGACTTGGAAATGTGCTTCGCACCATAACGGTGTGCACTTTTTCGACATCTCACCTTCCAAAAGTGGTCCGAACATGAGGTGTTTTGCGCGTTTTGACTTGGAAATGTGCTTCGCGCCACAAAGGCGTGCAATTTTTCATCTCTCATCTGGCCAGCTGGCTCCGCACCCGCCGCTTTAGCGAGCCTACTTTTCGACCCTCCGGAGCCACAAATCATTGGAAAAACACAATGTTTCGCGACTTTCCTACCTTTTCGCGCACCTTGATCTTCTTTCTTCGGAGACTTTCTCTTTTTGATCTTCTTTCTTCTTCTCTTCTTTTGTCTTCTCTTCTCTTCTCTTCTCTGACTCTTCCCATGTCTGCTTTTCATCTGTCCATATTGCCGGAAGTTTGACTCTAAACTTCCTTCGATAATCTAGATGAAAGCCATTGAAAGCCAACCTGAAATAGGGTCATCCAAATATATTTTTTGCCAGGGCTTCCACAGGGTTTGCCCCTGTGGGAAGCTGCATAGGTCACAGCTGCCTCAAACGTCCCATTCCACGCTGACAAATTGTGCTTGTGTTCCTGTACACTGCTCAATGACCTTACTAGCAGCTTTGTAGCCTCCAAATCCTCCAGCAAAGTATTCAACAACTCTAGGGGAGTGTCTTGTCTGGGGCATGGTATTGGTGCCCATTGCGATTCATTGTCAAAAACGTATATAAACACAAATTGTCCAGCATACTCATGGGTCTCAACAAAGTTGAAAATCCAGATGTCCTTGTTCATGGGTGGCTGATAGTTTACATCCCAAATCAACAGCTGCTCATCACATAGCAATGTGTCCCCAGGTCAATGTCAAACTGGTCGTATGGAAAACCTTCAGGAGATTTCTGGGAGAACTTGTAGGCATCTACTCCAAATGGTGTAAAATCTTCATAGATATTGACCAGAAGGTTGTGTCTTTCTGCTATGGGAAAAGAATATCTGCTCTTCTCAACAGTTCATCAATGGCATGGCTCTATCCGATCCTACCAAGGAGGACGCAAGGTTGCCGAGGACGCAAGGCTAGAGCCCAAACCTTCGTTATAATTTACCCAGATATATGTTAGCATTTGGTTATTTAACATAGCCATGGAAAATCCCTCATAAATGGAGGTTTATAGCTGGTAAAATCATCTATCAATGAGCCATTTTCCATGGCTATGTTAGTCATAAACAGAGGGTACATTATGTTACCATGAATCCGTATAAATCCCAGAACTGCCCCCTCGTTCCCTCGTTCCTACGTGTTCCCACGTGTTCCCACGTGTTCCCACGTCGCCGTCTCGGTCCGTCTCGCCTTGATCCGAAAGCCCAGGACGTCCGCCGCAGCGGTGAACTGCGTGAGCAGGATCTCCAGCCAGCCGCAGGACACAATGCCTAGGCGATTCGAGTCGTTTTCAGCATGTCATCCCAGTCATCCCATAGATTGAGGGAGTCAATGTAAGATATATGTAGGTCAGGAAAGGTTGGGAAATGTTGGGAAATATTGGGAATGGTTCCAATCAAAAAAAAATTCTTACACATTGGGTTTACTGTAATAGATACCCAGAACCAGGTTGGTTGAAACAGGTGTGTCACGTACCGATATATTGATGCAGTGCACATGCCTAGCCAGTCCCTGCATGTCTCCATGATGGACTAGTTTAATAGCGATATTTCTCTTAGGTTGGGGTTGGCACCCTTCAACACATTGTGTTCACTGATAGCCCAGTAATAAACCCCAAACCTCCGGCTCAGTTTACCACTATTTCGGTATATTTCAGTGGTAACCACCCTATATAAATAAGCATGGTTTCTTGATCTGGGAGTCACACTGTGCAATCTTGTATATAGGTCATCAGTAATGCCTGCAAGTTGAGCCCTATGTCCCATGATGTCTGGTGAGGTCTTCATGATGTTCATTCCCTCACTGAATTGCAGGGATGGAGCCATTGTCCCTTATCTTTCCTACAAGATTCTAAGGAAATAGGTAAGTCTTCATAGGCCAACCTCGCGATGACAACGCCAAGGTGCCCACATCCATCACCATCATCCAATCCTGTAAGAATTTCATGCCTGTCAAAGTCCTGAGAAACAAGGCGTTCTTTGTAACAAACTTGCTGACCCTGGTGACCTGCCTTTGTCTATGGATCCATATGCCAATATATAGCCCACAACACTTGAAAGAACAATCGAACCAGGAGATGCACAGTAATATCACAGTAAGTCAAAGTCTTACTGGTCAGTTCCATTTTTAGCGCATTTTATTGGGAGCTTGACAATTCAGGCCACTTTTGTGCCAGTCAGGTGCTACTGACATCGTTTGGGGCTAGGATCAAACATGGATGTCCATAGCCGCGAAGCCTGCGACTTCCGAGTGGGCAATCCAAATGTTTGTCGTCGGGCATGAGTTTTCGATAAGGGCATTCAGAAGATTCATACATTCAAAAAACACAGCTAAACAGCCATCCAAGAATGAAGTACTCCAAAATCAAATGGAACACACACAAACACATACACACGCACGACGCACACTCACACACACACGCGCACACACACACATATGTGTATATATATATCTATATCTATATCTATATTAATCTATATATATATATATGTATTAATTATGAGTATGATTGTCACTTTTTCTCCATCAAAGCATCATACCATGGGGCGGCATACACCGTTTCCGGAAAACAACGAATCACCAGATCATCTGAATCATTGACTGACTGCGAGAGGACAAATCTCACATGGGAGAAAATTTCACGGCACTCTATGGAAATGAAAAACCCCCCTCCGGGAATTCCAAAAAAAAAGTGGAAAGCATCCCGTTTATAGATGATATTCCCAGTGAAAGCATCCATTTAGTTCGGGCATTTTCCAGCTGATTACTACAGGTTAGAAAATGTTCCCATGCAGAACGGTGGCTCCATGCTTTTCCATGTCCAAACGAAATGCTGGCGTCTGAACCCACACTGGTCACCCGGAGAACTCTAAAATAGTGCTGAATCGGGTTCTACCTTTTTCAGGGCTGCTATAATGGATGTTGATGGTCAAAACAAGTGTTCTGCAAATGTTCTCTCCAAATTTAGCCAAGATTTCACCAAAATAACTATAGATTTGACCAAACTTAGCCAAGATTTCTTCGAATGCTCTCTCCGCCAAATGTTCATAGATTTTCTATGCCAAGTTTCACCCAGATAACGGCCTCCAGGGTGTACAAGCAAAGGCCTTCGCCATCGCCACGGGGATGACCCAGTAGACGCTAGTCAAGTCTCCAAAGGGACTAATCCGGCATACTGGAGATTTAAAAAAAAAGCCGCGAAATATCATACATGATTCCTGGGTACCAGCTTCCTGATTCATATTTTTTGAGGTTAAATTTGAATTCCTGTTTCGATAGCTTTCTATGTACTCGTCCAAACTACTGGTAAACATGAACCGCCAATATCCATTCAATACAATAATGCACACCCACTGGTTGCTACACGTACCCCTCAGTCAGTCTCCTTGCCATAAAGTGATATGTGTTTCCGACACCATGGCAATCTTCGGAGAATTTAGATATAACGTGACTATCAATTGAGCACCTTATCATGGCCACTCTTTGAAACCCTGCTCATGAAACTGCGAGTATAAACAACATTCACCATCCAAAAGCCTAAAGATTTTCCCATGGTTTTCTTGGATGTCCCACCAATCCTCAGCTGTTTATGATTTGTAACCCATTCAGATAAGACGTAACTGAAGATATTTCATATATAACTGGTTTACTTCTATTACCTTACTGTACCATGCCTGCAGTGCACCCCAAGTCAGCCATGAAAAAATACCATCTCCCATTGGACTTGTTGGTAAACGGGTATCCCTGTGGGTGACCAAACCCCCAACAAACCAACGAGTGTTTCAAATCAACGGTATGCGCTCAAGCCGGCCTTTGATTATAGGCCTTCTATCCCATCAAATACAAATTATACCCAATGATATAATCCAATTAGCTATATGATGTTGCACCCATGATCCCTCTTATAAGCCCTATTCTTGACGGTTGCATCAATTCCCCTCTGGTAATGATCGTTTATCTTCCGTGAATCTCATTGATATCCATCAATCTGTCTGCACCAAGCTGCAAATATCCGAAATCCATAGCACGGCTAAGGATGGGTCACGGTTCCCCGCACGCGCATCGATGGCGTTGCAGGTGCAGCAAGTGTCGATCAACACGACGACCTCCATGAGACCCGACCCATCTGGCAAACAGTCGATTTAGCCTAGTTTTTTCTGCACATGACGCGAGATTTAGGTATCAACTTAGCTATGTTTTTTTGTTTAATACACATGATATGGGAGTTATGCGCTTGCCTAATGGGCAGGCATTTTTAGTTTTGGTTTGACAAATGACAAATGACATGGGAAAATTTGAGAAGAATCTTGAAACTTTCAGGAAAACCATCTGCAAACCCTGTTTTTCCTTCCAAGAGTGGGGTGGGGAGGGTTTGGGAAGGCTCAAAAGGAAGCATGGGGAGGGGTTTGGGCTGCCCATGCTTCCCAAGGACGGGGTGGGAAGGGTTTAGGAAGGGTCAAAACGAACCGTGAAAAGGGGTTACTAAATTAAATTAATCCTCGGAAAACAGAATTCTCGAAAAAGATAACCAACGGTCCACCTGGATTAATTTCTTGAGGTAGGGGTCGTTGTATGTATGTTTGTATGTATGTATGTATGTATGAATGAATGTATGTATGTATCTATGTATGCATGCATGCATGTATGTACGTGTATGTACGTGTATGTACGTGTACGTACGTGTATGTACGTGTGTGTACGTATATGTACGTGCAAAAAGTAATGTAATGTAATGTAATGTAAGGTAATGTAATGTAATGTATGTATGTATGTATGTATGTCTATATGTATGTATGTATGCATGCATGTATGTATGTATGTATGTATGTATGTATGCATACATGTATACATGTATGTATGTATGTATGTATGTATGCATGCATGTATGTATGTATGCATGTATGTATGTATGTATGCATGTATGTATGTATGCATGTATGTATGTATGTACCCGGAAAGTCCAATGTTGATGTTTACCTAGGCATTTCGACGCATTTCCCTAATGCCGAAGCTTACCTACGCATTTGTGTAATGTCGATGTTTACTCATCAATGTCGATGTTTACCCGTGAGACATGGGGTGCAGAAATTTATCATTTTTTTGTACTGCTGCCGGATCTTTATCTTGGACATGCTTCACTAGTCAAACTCATGCGATATCACTTTGAATCACATTTGACACATATTTTCCCGAAGGATTTTGTTTTGTTTTCACTCAACGATACATATATGTTTGCATGAGAGCGGGTGTTTTGCCCTAGATTCTCCCAAACTCAATCTTGTAAACAAAAGACACCATGGGAGAGGTGTTTTAACAAAGGCCAGCCAAGGAATGTGGATGCGGTTGGCATCCGAATGACCAGACTGGCTAATCAAACAAGAAAAAAAGGCAAAAACACATTGTATTCTAGAGGTGGCATGGGGTTGCTCTTTTCCTCTGGTAAACATCGCATTTCACGGGTAAACACCGCATTTCACCGGTAAACACCGCATTTCACGCAAACTTCATGCTATTTCACGCTAAGGATTTTTGGGGGTGTGTTTCGTCCTCCGGTGGCCAAACTGAGTTCCCGATTTCTTTGGGCATTAATTCATATATCAATCTGTGACATGAGCTTCTGGGAGCGGCAAATTTCCAAACCGTTGAATGTCCCATGTTTTGTCCGTGAACTCTGACAGTAAAAATGCAAATACTTGCAAATATGGTTCCTCGATCTGTTTCCTGTCTGGATATTCAATACTTGTAGGATCTGGTAGGTTTCAAATTCAGTTCCAAGGGCCCTTACACGTTGGGAAATTGGAATAATGCATATATGTATGATGATTTTGCACTTCATTGCGCTTCCAAGGTCCATAGATTTCTTCACAGGGGTTAAACATCAACATTGCGAATGTCGATGTTTAATCAACCCAAACATCAACATTGTCCGCGTAGGAGGTAAACTTCAACATTGACGCCCAGGGTGTATGTATATATGTATGTATGTATGTATGTATGTATGTATGTATGTATGTATGTATGTATGTGTGTGCGTTTGCATATACATATACTTGCATACAGCTTTACAGTCATTTAAGAACATCCAAGATAGCAAAACATGAGCGAACCATAGTAACCCAAGGGTCTGCCAAGGTCGCATTTCTGTGGCTGCAACGGAGACAGCAAATGTCTCCCAAAAGAAGGGTAGTGCCGCTGAGAAATTGAAGGTCTGTTAGGGCCAATAGCAACCATACCATCCATGTATGATAAATTTACCTCCGGTAATCAAACATAGCACCTGGAAATCCATGGAATTCCCCTATACATGCAGGTTTATAGCTGGGGAAATCGATGAACATCAACTATAAATGGGAGCTTTTCCAGGAAGCCACGTTTGATTACCGGAGGATGTGTAATTTTTGCTGTGCACAGTGTGCATTAAAAACAACTTTGGGGAGAAAGAAAGCAGGTGATTCAAACACAAGAAATAGTAAACAATACAATAACACATGCGTGACACACAGACTTAGCGCAGGATGAGATCCGTTTTGGATCAGTTGCGATTGGAAACCGGGACCAAGCATGATGGAAAAAAGACAGGCAGCAAATAGGGTACCCCAAACTCACTGGTTCATCATGTTCCCTCTTAAGCCATACATGGGTATCCCAGGTTCCAAACAAATCCGTGTATTTCTCGAGATGTTTGGGTCGAGTCTTTTCCACAATTTATCCCCAGGTTTTGTCATCCCGGCGAGACATGACTGAGGTTTCAATCTATTTGGCATCCTGCCGCTGAGGGGCCACCATGAAATTCGCGACATATTGGCCTGATGGTGTGGCTCAATCTGTCAGGGAGAAGACCCAGCAATCAAGCCAGTACTAAATCCCTAATACTCACCCCTTAGCCCTAATACTAAACCCCTCTTGGAAACCATGGTTTAGTAGAGAATTTCCACATAATTGGGACCATTTAGGGGGTGTTTAATATTGGGGATGGGAATGATGAGGTTAATAGGAAAATCCTCCGTGAATAGTAGCTGCATAGTGATGTATAGGGTAATCATTGGTCAAAGGAATTTTCAGAGGAAACTCCATTGTGTCCAGTTGACATGTTCCTGAAGTAGAGTAGGGTAGAGTAGAGCAAAGGAGAGTAGAGTATAGAGTACACAGTATAGTATAGAGTATATAAAGTATAGAGTAACGAAGAGATAGTATACAGTATATAAGATAGAGATAGATAGAGTATAGATAGAGTATAGATAGACTATAGATAGAGTAGAGTAAAGTAGAAAAGAGTAGAGTAGAGTACAGTAGAGTAAAGAAGAGTAGAGTAAATCGAGCCGAGTCGAGTCGAGTAGAGCAGAGTATAGAGCAGAGGTCCAGAAATTAAAGATTGTAAATAGAACAGAGGTCGAGAAGAGCGAAGGTAGAAGTTAGAGCAGAGTAAGCAGAGTATAGGTAGAAGTGAGAGCAGACTACAGTAGAAATTAGAGCTGAGTAGAGGTAGAAGTTACCCTAAGTCTCCAAAACTAGCAAAATTACTAATTTAGATTGACTAATCGCGACAAGGTTTCGTGCCCAAAAATAGAAAACCGACCAACGGCCAACGGTTGGACGATTGAATGGAACCTATCACGATGGCCGCAATGAAAAAAACATAAAAAAAAAATACAATCTCGTGTCACCAAAGGTGGGTAATACATGGAGATCCCCGAACTAATTGGAGGTTTATAGTTAGGTGGGGAAAACAACTCGAAATACAATAACCACATTAAACGACCAGCAGCCAAGGTCGGCACAATTCATTTTCCGGATAAATGTTGGCCAAATTTTGCATGATTCTCCAAGTCGCGAATTCGCGGGGAATCAGGTTGCCCGGAAATCCAAAAAATCCGATCAAAAAACAGTTTCAATTTCAACAAACAGTAGTTGTAGCATTGACACCTGGATATGGTTAGCCGGTTAGCCGCTTAGCGGTCAGTGATTTCCAACGCAATTCCCCAAGTCAGAGATCATAAATCGGCCTGCAAGCAGCCACAAATACTACATCGAATTGTCTAAATGAAAGCATTCACTCAAGATCATAAGTAATTATCATAAATACGATAAATATGATATCTATACCTATCGGAATCAAAACCCACAAACAAAAATCTGCCAGAAAACCAGCAATTGGGGTGAAAACCAGGTTTTATGTGGAGGGAGGAGAACCCGGTTTTGGGCGAGGGGTTTTCATGGGTTTTGATGGCCTCGATGGGCTTTACGGGTTGTCGTTTTTTTTTTAATGGGTCGTGGCGAAGCTGCCTGATCAAAAACCTGGTTTTGAATGAAAATTTGGTTTTGACTGAAAACCCGGTTTTGATAATTCGAACCGTTTTTTTTCAGGAATTAAATTGATGTAGGAATATAGGTACTACTGTACCAAACACATTTGGCGTTGTTCTCAGAAAACCCAGGATGACCCTCCGCCAAAGGTCAAGGCACTTCTCATGACAGTCATCAACAAAGAGGCGCGCCAACGCAAGGGTGTGCCACCCTCACCTTGGTCCAAGCGAAGATATCTTTGGTTAGTGAGTTCGTGTTATTTCGATGTATTTCCCGGGGTTCTTAGGATGTTCCTATCATGTTTCTAAGGCTTTCTTGTGTTTCCTATAGTTCCCCCATATTCAAGGCACTGCTGTACTTGGGTTCACAGCTAGAGGCCGATGCGCGCTTGGACGGTGAATGTTATTCGAAGGTGAACTCCTAAAATCTCCTAGAGCATAAAACCATCTGTGCATATAGGCCCGCACACGCGTATGTGTATATATATATATATGTATATATATATATATATGTATAAAAATAACCACACGGTATTTGTGTTTGTGTATCTTTTTTGTCACATGTGGATCCAAATGCTAAGGAAGGTGCTGGTATCTGGGGTATGACTGAGAGGGGGTCAGTATCCAATAGCGGTACTGCGCTACGTAGGTGGTCAACACATGAACACGAGGCGGTGAGTGAATGTTCAAATGAATGAATAGAATGAACGAATATGATACATTAATATATATATATATGAGTGAAAATAAAAATGGAAAAGAAAAATGAACGAAGAGAGTTTAAAGAATGAATGGGTGAGTGAATGAACGAATGAATGAGTGAGGGAAAGCAGGAAGGAATGAATGAATAAAAAATGAAATGAATGAAATTAATTAAATGAATGAAATGAATGAAACACATGAAAGAAGAAAATGAATGAAATCAAAACAAGGAAAGGAACGAACGAACGAATGAATGTCATTAATGAGTGATTGCATGAATGCGCGAAAGAGTGAACGAACGAATGAATGAATGTTGTTTTGGGGCCAAGTACATTCTCAAAGGACATTCGGGACACACAAGGTCTATACATGTGATTCACATGATAATTAAACACATAAGTATATATCTATATATGTATATGGCTTCAGATGATATGTATAGTACCAGGTAGTGCTCGGCCGTGATGGGGCGGAAGTTTCGAAAAACAAAAGACTGGCTATAAAACACCGATGGCCAGTAGGAATGAGATGCAAAAGCGATGAAATGTTGAACTTATGAGGTGCATCAGCGAATGAGAAAATGCTGGTTTAAATGCCAATGAAATGACGTGAGCCCCAATGAAACAATGAATCGTTGAATCAATAAACCAGCGAACCACGGAATCAGTGAATCAATGAAGCAACGACGCCATAACGCAATGAGTCAATGAATCAGTGAAACAATAACTGCATGACTTAGTGAATCGACGAACCAATGAACGAATGAATCAATATAAACCAATGACGAATAAGTGAATAAACGAAAATGTGATTCATTGAATCAATGAATGGGTGAACCAAAAAGCAACTATGAATGAATGAATGAATGAACGAACGAATGAATGAATGAGTGAATGAATGAATGAATGAAAGAAATGAATGAATGAACAAACGAACGAACGAACGAATGAATGAATGAATGAACAAATGAACAAACGAACGAACGAATGAATAAATGACTTCATGAGTCGACGATCCAATGAATCAATGGACCAGAGAATCAATGAAACAATGAAACAGTGAATCAATGAATCAAAGAAATGAACCAATGAATCAAAATGACTCAGGGAATCAGCGAACAAATTTATGGCTCAATGGTTCGACAGATCAATGGACCAGCGAATCAAAGAACCACTGAACCAATGAAGCAACAAAGCGAAAGAACCGGTTAATCAATGACTCAGGGAAACTATGACCCAACAAACCAATGAGGCAATAATGAACCAATGAAGCATTGAATCAAGTAATCAATGGTTCAATGCCTCATTAAGATTCAATGAACCAATGAAACAATTAACTAATCAATCAGTGAATTAATGAGCCTATATGAACCTATATGAACCAATGAAATCAATGAACCCATGAATCAGTGAATCCATGAATGAATGGATGTCTGGATCGCTGCACTATTCTTTGTTGAGCTACTTTTTCCCTGGGCGGCCTCTTCGCTGAGGTACCTCTTCTTTCAGCTCCTTCTTCTCTAAACAGCCTCTTATCTGGGCTACTCCTTCCATGTCCCTGGCATGCTCTGAGCTGCCTCCCAGCTATCTCTTCTGTAGCTTCTGCAACGCAATTCTTCTCTTCGCGCAACTGTTGCAATGCGTTTAGCAACCTCCAGCTGCAATCCCGCAAAGCAGAAGAGTAGCACTATATGTTCTAACGCTACCTTTCGCGCAACTGTTACATTGTGACAAGTAATCTCCGGTTACAACCCCTTATAGCAGAGGAGCGTTGCGGCATCACTCATGCTTTGCTGTGTGCACCCGTGCCCGTGCCAATGCGTTTGGTCACAGCTGGCTGCAATTTTGAATCCGCACGCTGGGAACGTCCCACCAAATCGATCAACGTCCGCAGAGGAGTGACGATGGGAGCGAGTCCCCGCTACTCCGCTCCCCTCAGTTTTTCCACGTGGTCTCTATATTTTCTAAGAGGTGCCCCGCCCACATCTCAGTGGGCACTCGCGGACTTCAGCTGCGAGCTCCAGATTGGGCACTGCTGCCGGACCTCAACTGCGAGCGCCCAACCTCAATGGGCATTGCCGGACCTCAATGTCTGGACCCTATCACACCCCTATCGCGAGCTCTGCAGTCAGCTTAGCACTTAGCATGCCTGGGCCCGAACCCTATCGCGAGCTCTGGGGGCAGCTGAGCACGCCTGGACCCGAGCACATGCTATAGAATGCCGGAAAGAATGCTAAACAGAATGTCAGAAAAAATGCCAGATAGAATGCCAGAAAAGAATGTCACATAGTATGCCAGATAGCATGTCAGAAGTTCTGGCTCAGAACATATGGCAAATACAATACCAGAAAGAATGTCAGATACAATGCCAGAACGTATGCCAGATAAAATGCCAGAAAGGATGTCAGAATATGTTCAGATATATCCCGATAAAATGCAAGATAGAATGTAAGCATTTGGTGTCAAATAGAATGCAGGAAAGAATGCCAGATAGAATGTCAGAACATATGTCAGATAGAATGGCAGAAAAAAAGCCAGTTATAATGGCAAACGTATATCAGATAGAAAATCAAAATTTGAATGCCAGAGATAATGTCAGAATTTATGCCAAGTAGAATGCTAGAACGAATGCCGGATAGAATGTCAGAGAGAAAGAATGTCGGAGCGTATGCCAGATAAAATGTCAAAATAATATGTTACGGTGAAAAGCAGGGAGCACTCGAAATAAAGTAATGTAGCATTTTTCCCCAAACATTGTGGCCACACTGAGGAGTTCTTACGGTATAGGTGTTAAGGCCCGGTGTTAAATCGAGGTGGTCTCCGGGGCGTCCGCCATTTTCCCTGTAAATTTCCACACAAAATTGCTCTTGTGAAATGTCCATGTGCATTTCGACTGCGCAGGCTCACACAAAACGATGTCCCCGGAGGTGTCCCCGGCTATTTTTCTATAAATGTCCATAAAAAATGGCTCTTGTCAAATGTCTATGTGCCTTTCGACTGCCCAGGCTCGCACAAAACGATGTCCCCGGAGGTGTCCGCGGCCATTTTTCTTGTAAATTTCTATACCAAATGATACAAAATGGATCTTGTGAAATGCCCGTATGCATTTCGACCGCGCAGGCTCGCACAAAGTGTGCGAGCCGGTCTTGGGATCGGTCTTCCTCCTCAACATCATCTTCCTCCTCCTCCTCCTCAACATCAACATCATCATCTTCCTCTCATCATCTTCCTCTCATCATCATAACCATCATCACCATGATGATCATCATCATCATTATCCTCGTCATCCTCACCATCATTATCATCATCACCATCACCACCGCCATCACCAGCATCAGCATCATCATCATCATCATCATCATCGCCATCACCATCATCATTATCTTCCTCATCACCATCATCATCATCAACATCACAATCTTGATCAACATCATCATCAGCATTAGTTAACATCATCCACATTATAATACCTTATCCTCTTACTCCCCCCAGAATCTTTGGGGTCTCTATTGCCCACAATTGTTTCGTCAAATCGAGCTCTCGCTGCATTCTTGTGCGCATTTTCATCATTTTCCCGACCCCCTCTTCCAAAAGTGCTGTAAATCTTTTAACATGTCAAAGTGCAAAACGGGCTCTGGCTACAGTCTCGTGCGCATTTTTCCGGCCTCATCTTCCAAAAGTGCTCCGTGCGCCTCGGTTTTTTTCACATTTTGAAGTGCAAGCCGAGCTCAAGCTGAAAGTCTCGTGCACTTTGTGTCGGCAACTTTCCCAGATCAAGGCCCGAAACCGGACAGGGCTTCTCGTCCAAGAGTGTTTTCGCACGTGAGTTCACGCTCTCGGACTCTTTCACCTCCCACGATGTGGTTGACGTGATGGTGTGAATGCGAATAACCATGACCATCGTCCCTAGCGCGGAAGTTTGCTAACTATAAACTTCCTTCGATAACGTTAATAAAGCCGACTTGATCGGAGAATGTATTTGATAAGCATGGAAACCAACTGCCGGGCCTTTCCAATTGTTGAAATGCACTTCTGACTGACGCACGGTTCCTCACAACTTTCGTGCTGGCCGCTGGCTTGCACTTATTGACAAAAAACTGGCAGTTGCCAGCATGCCTAAACACTCCAAATACTGATACCCTTTTTTTCTGATTTTGGAAAAAGGTAGAAAGAAGGCACCTTCTGTGATGCTTCCCGGCGTTTTGAAACCCGCCGGCCGGCAAGTCGGTTTGCAGAATTTGTTGAAATATAGTTTTTAATTTTTCCAGCCTGTGTAATTGCCCATAAGTCCGGCGTAATTTTAAATTTATTTTTTTGCTGTTTCAACAAACATGCAGCTGTAGATCCGGCTTTTTTTGAATGCTCCGGCAATTTGACAGAATTGTCGCGATTTTACGCGTTTAGGGTATTCAAGAGATTGTAAATATTCATATACATTTTTTTTTGCTATTTGTTTATTTGTTTTTGCATAAATACAACTAGATATTTCTAGTAGAATTTTAAATATTCAATAATGAATAATATCTGAAGGCTGGACTGCCAATAGCCAAACGTATATATTGTTCTATGTCTGTCCATTTGAAACCAAGGTCAATGTGGTGCAAGCCAAGCATTTGGAAATGGGTCGAATGACCACTTATTTTGATCCATGCTGTTCGCGCTCGGGATTTGAAGCCCAACAAGCCAAAGTTGATCGGTTCATACCTTGACGTGTCGGTATGCTGTCAGTACTCCTATCCCCCGTTCACATTAAGCACCCCAAAAGGAGAAATCATGGTTTAGTAGAAGATCTACGCATTTAAGGGGTGTCTATTTAATAGTATAATATTGCGAGGAAAGGATTTGGATGGGATTAGGATAACGGGGCGTACGTGAAATAAATATAATGAAATTTTCTTTAGATAGCGTAAATATATATATATATTATTTTATATTATAGTACATGTGTATATATTTATAAATGTATATAAATATGATGATCATGTAACTGTAGTTTCTATTTATATATGTTTTGTCGATTTATTTGTTTACATATGTATGTGGTGCTAAATGCTAAGATCCCCTCCCCCGAACTTGAAAGCCCTTCCAGAACCCATGCTTTACCAGGGGATAAAAACACATATTTGGAACCATACAATGGGGTGTTTAATGTAAACTGGGGATGGGATTCTTCATTCTGACTGAACACGCTGGATCAAGCTACTGGGACAGGAATCCGGTCGTTTCGACCCGACCCTCCCGCCGTTCCACGACCTAGACACTGACTGGGGAAGAATCATCACCATGACCAATGAAGTCGCCCGTCAGGCCTTGAGCATCGTGCGATGAAGAAAATGTCATGTTTGGTGTCACTCTTGCCATCGAGAAAACCAGACATCTGCATAAACGGAAAAACTAATGATTGACTGACCTGGAGAGAAAAAAACAAACAACAAACATTTGGGGATAGTGGGTCGGACATTCTTCGTTTTGTTGTTCTTATTTCCGAAACCTGCGTGCTTTACTTGCAGCGTTTTGGAGCTAGAACTCAGATTTGCAAGACTTTGGAGCTTAAAAAAACCTTTCATTTGCATGGTATTTGCAATATTATCGAGCCAGGACTTTCATCTTGCAATCTTTGGGCGGTATTTTGGAGCCAGAATTTCTCCCTTTGCATAAACTTGTGATAAGTGAGAAGCATCATAAGCTACATAAAACAAAATGAGACAAGATGAAACAAGATTGGTAAGGTAACGTAACGCCCGCCACTTGAAAACTGAGACAAGTAACGCAAGAAAAAGTCATAAGAATATAGATTTGAAAATTAGACGAATAAGAAACATAACTTTGAAACAAAAAGGGATGATCACATAATATCACATAGAAAGGTCAGATACGGTCAGGTAAGATATGTTTTAGCTGCGAGCGGGGAGGTTGTGGGGGGGGTGAGGGGGGCAGCCCTCCTCACGACGAACCCAGACACATAATATAAATTAATAAACATTAGAAAATAGATTGCGAAATATGACGAACAGAGATAAATAGGTAGACCCTCTTGGACACAAGGATGAGAGAGAATAAGGCAAGATAAGGTAAGGCAGGCTTACCATGTAAGCGGGGTGAGTTTGGGGGCGGTTGAGGCAGCACCCAGGAAGAACTCAAACAACTATATCAAATAAAGAAGAAGGTAGACACGGGATAGATAAGAAACAAACGGTAGAGCAAACACACGAAGGAAGTTTAGGGATCACACTTCCGACAATATGAAGCAGCAGAGGTGGGAAGAGGCAGGGAAGAGAAAGAGTCAGAAGAGAAAGAGTCAGTCGAAAAAATATCAATAGAAAGAAGATCAAGGCGCGCAAGGTAGAAAAGTCGCGAAACACTGTGTTTTTCCAATGTTTTGTGGCTCCAGACGGTCGAAAAGTAGGCTCGCTAAAGCGGCAGGTGCGGAGATGAGAGATCAAAAATTGAATGCAGGTGTGACGTGGAGCACATGTTGAAGTCAAAATGTCAAAAGCTCCTAATGCTCGGACCACTTTTGAAAGCGGAGATATCGAAAAAGTGCACGCGGCTGTGGCCCGAAGCGCGTTTGGAAGTCAACATGTTAAAAACACCTTAGGTGCGGACCACTTTTGGAAGTTGAGACGTTGAAAAAGTGCACGCCGCTGTAGTGCGAAGCACATTTCCAAGTGAAAAGTGTTAAAAACAGACAGTCTCGGACCCTTTTTAGAGGTTGAGAGGTCGAATAAATGCATGCCTTTCAAAGCGCATTTTTCCAAGTGACAAGTATTAAAAACTTACTGTCTCGGACCACTTTTGGAACTTCACCTTCACATGTGGCAAAAGTGCACGCCATTGTGGCACGAAGCACATTTGCAAGCCGAATGTGAAAAACTGATTGTTTTTGACAACTTCTGGCTTCAGATGTCGAGAAAGTGCACGACCCTGTGGCTCGAAGCACATGTGCAAATCAAAAATATTAAAAACTGTCGGTCTTCAGGCTTTTTTTGAACTAGGAGAAAGAGACAAGATCGATGTTGCCACCTGGAGCCTTGCGTCAGAAAGGTAGCTACATAGAGAGATAGATTAGATTAGATTAGGTTAAGATTTAGATTTAGATTTGATTAGAAATGTAAACAGATAAATAGGTAGATAGGTAGACAAATAGATAGACAGATAGTCAGGTCGATAGAAAGATAAAATTAGATAGAATATAGATATAGATATACATATAGATAAAGAAAAATATAGATATAGATATGGATTTAGACTGAGATATAGATAGGTAGAGATAGACAGAGAGATACAGATGGATAGAGATAGACAGAGATAGATATAATTAGATAAACATAAATAGATATAGGTAAATATGGATGGATGGATGGAAAGGTAGACGATGGATGGATGGAAAGGTAGATGGATGGATGGAAAGGTAGATGAACAAGATACGTTTGGATGATTAAAGGTAATGTTAGCTCCTGATTAGTAGCTAGGGTCGCTATTGTGGCATTTTTCCAAATTATTCTGAAACTCATGTATTGTTTGGAGGGTTCGCTTTTGTGGCAAAACAAAATTGGGAGAGCCATTTTTTTTGAAAAAAAAAACGGTAATTGCTGAGAGGCAATTTTGTTTCTCAAAAACGCTGTAGCTCAGTCAAGTTTTTGCTCATCTCTCTATCTGAGCCTGTAAATGCATCTCTATCTGAGTAAGTTTGTTTGCTGGGTTCACTATTGCAGCAAGCTGTGCCAGAGCAGCCCCTGGAAGCCCAGAAGAGAAGCAAGCCTTTTCCAAAATTGCCAAATTCAAACTGCAAGCCTTTCCCAAAAGAACCAATCCCTTATTAAACCCTTATTAAAGAACAGCTTTTCCACAATTTTCCAAGGCCCTGGACCAGGAGAGGCTTCATTTCACTTTAGTAGGTTTGTTTGCTGGGTTCACTATTGCAGCAAGCTGTGCCAGAGCAGCTCCTGGAAGCCCAGAAGAGAAGCAAGCCTTTTCCAAAGGCAATTGCCAAATTCAAACCCCAAGCCTTTCCCAAAGGAGCCAATCCCTTATTAAACCCTTATTAAAGAACAGCTTTTCCACAATTTTCCAAGGCCCTGGACCAGGAGAGGCTCCATTTCACTTTAGTAGGTTTGTTTGCTGGGTTCACTATTGCAGCAAGTGTGCCAGAGCAGCCCCTGGAAGCCCAGAAGAGAAGCAAGCCTTTTCCAAAGGCAATTGCCAAATTCAAACTCCAAGCCTTTCACAAAGGAGCCAATCCCTTATTAAACCCTTATAAAGTAAAGAACAGCTTTTTACTTTAGTAGGTACTACAAGTTGTACAAGGGTTCAAGTACTACAAGTACTACAAGTACTACAAGTACTACAAGTAGAAAGTACTACAAGTTTACAAGTACTACAAGTACTACAAGTACTACAAGTACTACAAGCACTACAAGTACTACAAGTACTACAAGTACTACAAGTACTACAAGTACTACAAGTACTACAAGTACTACAAGTACTACAAGTACTACAATTACTACAAGTACTACAAGTACTACAAGTACTACATGTACTACAAGTACTATAAGTACTACAAGCACTACAAGTACTACAAATACTACAAGTACTACAAGTACTACAAGTACTACAAGTACTACAAGTACTACAAATACCACAACTTCATCGGCAAAAAAAACAATAGTAATTAGATTTCAATTGTAGCCAATTGAAATCCTTACTTAATTGAGATTTTGGGAAGAAAATGTTTGATTTTCTACTTTAAAGAGAGTCCAGAAATAGTTAAGGGAGGGGGGGGGGCCACACACTAATCAGGAACCAACATTAATTATACATGATAGACATAACGAAGAGATGAGCAAAAATTTCAAAGATAGACCTAAGAAGATAAATACCACGGTGATAAAGACGAACTAAATATCAGATTAGCTAGCGATAGGGCACGCGAGCGAAGATAAGATAAAACTAGATGAGATACAATAAGAAAGGAAAGATTGCATGAAGATGTTGAATAATTCATTGAATCAGACAAGCACAAAACCATGAAGCAGAAAAGACACAGAAAAACACAACAAAAACAGAAAGGACGAAACCCAAGAGAAGAACGGAAAAGAAGAAAAGTACAACTGTACAACCACGAAAATTACATTCTTCGAGTGATGCCCGCCCTGTCACATTGTTCTGAACTAGTTTCTGACATACCATCTGGAAGTATATTATGGATATTGGTAGGGATACACACACACACATATATATATATATTCTCTGAGATTCTTTCCGCCATATACTCTGACATGCTTTCTGGTATTCTATCTGGCATCTATTCCGACATTCTTTCTAGCATGTAACTGGCATCTATTCTGACATGCTTTCTGGCATCTATGCTGGCATTCTATTCTGGCAGTCTACTGGCATTTCTTCTGACGTTCTCTCCGCACATGGGCAATGCCGGACCTCAACCGCGACCGCAGTCCGGCAGTGCCCACTGATATCTGGAGGTCGCGGTTGAGGTCCGGCAGTGCCCACTGAGATCTGGAGTTCGCTGTTGGGGGAAGGAGGAAGGAAGGAAGGAAGGAAGGAAGGAAGGAAGGAAGGAAGGAAGGAAGGAAGGAAGGAAGGAAGGAAGGAAGGAAGGAAGGCAGGCAGGCAGGCAGGCAGGCAGGCAGGCAGGCAGGGAGGGAGGGAGGGAGGGAGGGGAGGGAGGGAAGGAAGGAAGGAAGGAAGGTGGAAGTAACTCTGGCAAAAATCTAGAGACTCTCACCTGCCAGGCCAGTTGGGGAAAAACAAAGAAAGCAAAGAAACAGAAACGCAGAAAAAGCAAAGCAGGAATTGGACCAAAATCCTACAGTAAATCTTGTCCAAAAGAGACCTGACATGAACAGCCCTCCATAGTTGCCCTCTACTCATCATTTCAGTGACGTCGCGATGTGAGGTGTTTAAATTTCATCCACAAACATGATGTGAATCTTGGTCGCCACATGGTGAGGATTGACTGCCTCGCCATCCCCCAGCCAAACAACACGCATCCATTGTTTCCCAAATCCCCCGTCATTTTTTCCCGTTCATATTATATGAACACCCCAGAAACCATGGTTCAGTAGGCGACTTACACTTGATTGGGACTATGTAAGGGGTGTACAATATTACAGGATATTACTTTCCTTTTGCGAAACCTAATCTGAACTCGTTACCATGTTACCAGACTATGTAATTTCTAAAAAAGGGACCCAAGGACCCAAGGATCTAAGCTCTGCATGTGGCTCGCTCCATATCTCCATGTTTTGCTTCTAGATACCCATGTTCTCGTGCAAGTGCTAGCCGCTAGCCGTGCTGCCATTAGCATCCACAAACTAAACAATCGTCCACTTACCAAATAATTAAAAAACTAAACGGTTCCATGTCCCTTCGGTGATCAAACATGGAATGTAGAGATGAGTTTCACATGTTTTTTTCTATTTAGTTCGGTGGCTCGGTGGTTTCACAGCATCACCTTTGATGACACCAACATCCATGCCATGTCCAGTCCCAGCCACGCACAGGGGGTGTGTGCCGAGTCTCTCGAGACCTGAATGAAATGAGGTCAGTGACATCGCAGTGAGTTTGTTATAATTTAAGTGTGTCGCATAATTATAAAATATTATATATGTGATATATTTACATGCATATGTATATATAGATATATACAAATACCAATGTGTATATATATAAGTACAAATGTATGTATAGATGTATAATATATATATATATACACATGATTACATATGTGTGTGTGCGTGACCATAGGACACCAAAACATCAAAGTGACACATGATGACACACGCAAATACCTACCAAATCAATCCAATTTCATACCCATTGATCAAAATCAACCGCAAATCTAATCTATGATGTCATTTTTTATTGGTTGGTGGGATATATGGGAGGTTGTTTGATTTGGTTTATGGGTTCACCCCCTCACTCAGACCCCTAAGATGTTGGGCAATGCATCCCATGGCTGGGATAATGTATTCTAAACTGCCTTGCATTTCAGTATGTGGGCATACATGTGCACCTTCATTATGTGTATCTACAAAATATATAAATAAACAAAATGATAATTAGTAATAATAATAATAAATACATAATATACAATACACACACTCTGTACATCAATCGATTATTGGGCGCTTCCTGACTTTGAGTTGCTTTTTGCACTATTGACCCTAAAGAAGTAGAAAAGGCTTTACTTCCTCAAATAGCTTGCAAATCTCTGTGAACTTCTTACTGAACTGCTTTTCTTGCTGCCGAGGGTCATTTTCTTAACGGGTTGCGAGCTGCTTGAAAAGGGTGCCGACGTGGCGAAAGACCGGCCCTCTAAAAGTCAACTAGCACCACCTGGCCCAATCTCTCAGGACCAGGTCTATGCACCGGCAGACTGGATAAGAATTGCTGCGGGAGGTGAAAGATTGAAAGATCTGGATTCGCCTAAAAACCTGTTTGATTCAATATGGAGATTATCAAGCGCAAAGAATGTGGAGAAGTCAATGGCATGTCAAGATCTGTCGAGGTTCAATCAATACTTCGCTGTTGCACTCCCCTGTTGGGTAGCGCAAACTGCCGGCTTCATCAACCGTTTTCGAGCCAAAGATCCCCAAAAAAAGCAAGGAGTTGACATTCGCAGAAACCCGACTGAATCACTTCAGCAAACCCTATCTGTGAAACGTTAGCCGTTAGACTCTTGGAAGCGCGCTCAAAGAACATTGCTGTGGAGGACCCAACTCACCAAAAAGTGCCCAGAAAACAACTCAAAGATTTACCATCTTTGCCATGAGGAACGAGAAATCCACCGAAAGGTGACTGAAGCCAACCCACATGTCATGGATGTTTGAAGCTTCGGGGCCTCAAAGGTGGTACTGGTAATGAACTGGGACCCAGTTCAATATCACCCAAGCAGTTAGGGAATCATCACAAAAATCGTCGTGACATAATTAATGTCCAGCACAATGACACATGTACTCTCCTGTAAAATGTCAGATGTGGAAAAATCCACCATTTGTACATCATTTTCCTAGGGAAGCCATAGGTGTTCCACATTTATGTTGGTCCATGTTGGTCCCCCAGTCCCCTCCAGGGTACCACAGGATCCCACCTCTCTGTTGGCATCCACGCGCCCTGGGCTCCGCCCACGTGCCCAACAACTTAACCAATGAGCCGTGACGTTCATGTTGCATGAGATTTTCGAAATACTGGACATGATGCCCTCTGGTCATTTAAGATAGCCATGGAAAATCCCCATAGTTTAGTCGGGATATCGTCGCACTCAATGGCTCAAAGGGCCATGGGTAACATGGTGTGATGACCAAGGCTGCCCTGTACATCTCCGCCTTTTTTTTGTGCCCCCTCAGTCTTATGAACTATAGATATCCCTACCATAAACATCCATAAACCATAGCTAGCCTAGTTAGTAATATATGTATAATATATATATATAAGAATACCTATATAATCCTATATTATATTTATATATATATATTATATTAGATTATATATATATTAATTATATATATATATATATATAAACCACCATTTAGCCAAGTATGGGGCACCTAGTTATCCTAAGATCCTAAGATCACCATGAACACCATGAATTCTCCAGGCGCCATCCGCCGGATCCGCCCACTGAGCCGTCCACCGGGCGTCGCTTGGTTCCAGGTCCATGTAAATTATTGTTGTATATCTATATATATAATATGTTTGCGTGTATACCAATATCTATATAAATATATGGTTGTTGATCAAAATTCCTTTATCCCGGAACGGCCATTCTTCGCGAATATATATATTTATATATATATAATTCAGTGAATAATATAAAATAAACATATTCAGTGAACACTGCAATGATAAAATATGTCATAAAAGTTAGGAATGGCACATGTTCAATGGCTGGGAGAACTCTCCAATGTAAAAAAAAAGTCTGTGCAACGCAAAACACTCCTCTGATGCATCTCCTTGAAGCATGTTTTTTCTCCCAGCCGTGGTGGGAACATCGAAGTGAATCCAGACTGCGGCTGCGAGAGATCATAGCCAGGGCCGATTCCCCGTAGTTTCACGGCATCACATCTTTAACGACGATGCCGACTGAGACTCAAACAAACTCTTAGCTTCATGGACGAAGAGCCGTAAACAGCACAGCTGTTTAGAGCTGTTTAGAGCTGTACTGAATGTTTCTAGACCAACGTCTTGCAAACGAGGGCTATGGTATACCGACATATATTTTTTTGAACTGGAAAAAAAGAGATCATGAACTGTTAAACATGTTCATCGATGTTCTACATCTTTTGGACAGAACATCTTATGAATTTCTGCTAATTCAGCCATGGGAACTTCATCCAGCTAAGATATGTTCATTACATGTCATTACATGACTCACATGACTTAATGATACTTAATAATATAATAGATTTCCCAGCCATGGGTAGAACTGGTCGTCCCGTGCTAGCTATCGGCTGTAGCATCAGCATGTTCAGGATTCACTGAGGTGTAGCTTCTCGAAATCCGTCCGGAACTCCTCGAACCTTGGGCGAGGGAAAACCGACCAGGGAAAACACACCAGATGCGATGTAACCGAGGCATTCAACGTCTTGTTTGGGGAAAGGCAAGGGGAAAGAGGGTTGTAAAGTTTAAAATCTCAACATGTGAATTTTGTTGACAATTGCCAATTACGGCGAATGGGAAGACCTTGCGTCTGTGTGGGCACTGAAGTTTTCCAAATGCAGCAGTCAAATCCTGCTAGAAACCAGGAGAGTTGCCCCCAGCCGATCATGAAATCTGCGGCGGCTTCGCAGATTGCATTGCAAAGATAAGCATGTTCCTGACAATAGGATGGGCACCTGGGAATCTAGGATAATCATGGATAATCTGGGCCACCGCGACGAAAAAACCTACTGTATATTGTATACATATACATATATTTATATATATATATATACATATTATATATATATGGGTAAATCATGGTGAATCATAAGAACTCACTAACCCAAAATAACGTTATTTTGATCTATTTTGGGATGATTCCCTATACCAACCATCATTCCAGGGTTCGGTCGCTTTCGGGTTCGGTCGCTGTAATTTACCCAGCTCGAAATGATCCCCTGGGAAACGCCAGCATGTGCCTATTTGATGATATTTGAAATGGAAAACCGTTGGAACCCCCCAAATGTATCATGGTTTCCCATGGTTTTCCCATGGTTCCCACAAGATAACCTGCATCGTCTCATTAAAGTCGATATAAAACCGATGTACCTTTCTGTGATTATGTTACTATTCAATATATGCAAAACATGAATGTATATATATATATATGTGTGTGTTTGTGTGTAACAAGTTGTATGTTGTTTGCATGTTTTGTGTATGTATATGCATACCAGAAAATATATAACATATCAACATTATAAACTCATAATTGTGATACACTGAGTCATCATGCACTGTATGAGAAATCCCATGCAGGAAGCTTGCGGATTTCTTGTTGAACAGAGCTTGCTCTGTGGCATCCTCCAGCTGCATTTCCCAGTGCTCTCCCATATGAATTTTGGGGATGTTCAATGATCAGTCTTGGAATCATTGGAAACCCAAAAGCCATCAAAAATAATGATTTTCCACTGGTGGAAACCAATGGTTCCTAGCAAAAATTAACCCACAAAAACTGCGACCACAGATCATCTTTGCCGGCAATCTGAAAAGATTCACCTTAGTGGGACGATCTCAGAGATGGAATGGATGGAAAATACGCATATTGTCAAACACAATGTCTAAACGCCAACAGAAAAAAAAAAACAGGTCTCTGGAGTCTCTGGAGTCTCTGGATTCTGTTTCTGGCAACTGGAATGGGTCATCTTGGGAGTCATGGATGGGAAACGATTATGAATCTATCTGGGAAGAAGAACTGCACGAATTGTTTCTGGACTTGGCACTAAGAAGTCACCCTTAAGAAGTCCAAATAATGTTGCATTTGTTTTGGTCCTCTCTCAGCAAAATACACCCAAGTTCCACCAAACGTTCGACGATTCAAAAGCAGTGATAGTTTTGCGCAAAGCGATCCCAATGATAAATGGGGGATCAAAGTGCTAATAATCTGGTGATATTTCATAGGATAATCTTCATTTATATCGCAACCTCCGGGATGCATTTCAAAAAAAAAACACCATCATCACCACCACCATTCGCCAGCACTTTTACCACATCAACAACCAATATTCAAAACATACGTCATGTATATATATATATATGCTATAGATGGTAACAGTTACCATCAATAAGCCCCAGTCATGTTAGCATATATATACCAGCACCATGGATCCTATGGGTATATACAAATATAGTAATAGATACCCTCTGGTAAATTAACATAGACCCTAAAAATCATCCATGTTTAAAGGAAACTAATCTTCCAACCCCCATCAAGGGTCTATGTTAATTTACTGGAGGGTATATATGGGTATATACAAATATAGTAATATACACACACATATATATATATTTTTAAAATTATATATATATATTATATATTATATATATATTATATATATACATAGAGATTCTTGAGTTTGTAGAATCCTCCGTGACCCGGCCGCGCCACGAATCTTGGTGGAGCTGAAGCCGGCCACTTCCCCCGGCGCAGCCGAGGCCACGAAGACCTCCGGCGGCCGCTCGGGCTCCGGTGCCTCGTCCTGGCGCGGCACCACCACGACGCCTACGTCCGCGCAGAAGCGGCCGAAGCCTCGTGGCGAGGGATGGGCTTCAAGGACCTACTAATGAAGTTAATAGTATGGATATAATCCTGGATATAGTTGAATATGAATATTTGATATAGTACATCTATAGGATATAGTTGGGTGTTAATATAGTTGGATAACCACTATTAAATAGTTGGATAGTTGGATATAGCTATGAACTATTTAGGATATAGTTGGATATACCTATTAATAATGGTAAATGTATATCCAACTATCCAACTATTTAATATAGTACATCTATAGTATGTCTATAGTATGGAGATGTATGGAGTATGGATATATATATATATGTATATTTACCCAGCTGCCCAAATCCAATAGATCAAGAGTGTATTCCCACACTCTCAAGACACCAAGAAGACCTGGCGTCATGAGCATGAGAAATCCCGTAGAAACTTCAAATGTACGGCAAATGTCTCACACTTTTCAGCGCTAACCTGAAGATCTATCAAAAATCAGCAACTCAGCAAGCCGAGTGAAATCTACCAACCCCCAGCCACTTCAGACGTGTATCAAACAAATGTGAAATGACAAACATAATATCGCCGAAGCATGTCCTACAACCCAACATGTACAGAAGGCTCAACAATTCGATCTGATTGAGGCCGTAGCCGTCATAGAGGCCACAGCGTTCAGCGTGATCAGTGCCTCAAGGGGAAGCATGCGGCACCGGAAACACCTGTGCGGGGTTGATGTTATCTACAAAATCTGGAAAAAGTATGAACAAACTAGGACTGAGTTGTGGATTCTTTATGTTGCTCCTACACATATCACAGGATATCACACGTCAAATGCAGGCAACATTGGCAAGAAAACGGCCGGTGGCAAATTCAAAGGCCTGAAAAACGCAGCTTGACTAAATCAGCATATCATAGCTGCCATAGCTGTGTCCTGTCAACAATATGTGGGGATCAAATGGCACATGATCGCCGCAGCAATTCAGGGGAGGAAACATCGGCAATTGCATCAAGTTGGTAGCTGTTGGTGGCATGCATATATCCTGATATATCCTGATATTGACCAACCCCTTGAAAAAAAATAGGTAAAATGACTCTGACTACCTCTCTCAGAGAAAACTGGAAGGCTAGGGTATGATGTCTGTCGGTGTGACATGTTGGCCAGGTCTATCTCAACACTTCCTTCATCTAACAATATTTATGTGAAATGGGGGTTCCCAACATGCTAGCTTCGCAGAGCCGGAGTGGAAGGCCACAAGTGGATAGTGGAGAACACAACCTGCAAACCCACCGTCAAGATTGAATGGATGCAAACTTGGAAGTGGACCTGTAACTTGTTTTTTTTTCAACTATTTGATATTTCTTGATAGTCCTGCATCGTCTCATATCTAGTAATTGCTGAAAATTGTAAAACAGTTGAAGACTTACCCTCCGGTAATCAAACCATGCCCGACCTGCAGCCTAGGTACCACAGGCATAAAAGACGCGAGGCCAGCCGCTCTCACCCAAAAGCCTCAGTGAAATCCCCGAGCAGTCCATCGATACCCTCCATTCAGTCCATTTTCAAGGCGGAGTAATTAACAAAGATATGGAGCACACATGGTTTCCCAACCGCAAATGAATTGTAAAGGTTGATTCTCTGTAATATGTATATATACTTATACATATATATGTATATATACTTATACATATATATATGTATATATATTATATATATTACATATTTATAGTGTTTATATGTGTTTATTTCCTGCAGTGGTAGTCTAGCCTGGCAATGGACGATCTCCCACCGCCAGTTTTGATTGCCAGAGGGCAGCTATGCCTTTCAGCCAGGGAGCAAGTTCAGGGTCGGCATAAGCTCCGCTTGATCATCCACCAGCCTTTTCAGTGTACCTGGCAAATGCTGGGATGGGAACTAGCAGTGAGTTCGCCCCATTATGTCGATGAGAACTACCATGGAGTATCATTAATTGCAAGATTAGCTATGGACCCCCGGTCAGCTCCGGGCAGACTCGTAGATGGGGGCTGCAACTTTCCATCCACGTTTCGAGATACTTTTCCTGCTTTATCCCTGGTCCACTTTCAACCCTTATTTTCATGATCAAATATCCCATCTGGATTCGTTGTATATATATAAAATTGTTCCATTGATTAGATAGTTCCATTTCAATCGCCTGGATTTCCAGTAAACGAATGTCGTGTTGACTCGTCATATGCCGCCATTGATGGCTTGGATCCCGGTGTTTGATGGTGAAATCCCCACGATGATCCGCGCACGCTGAAGCTCCTCGGCGACCTGTGGAAAGTCGGGCCAGGAGCCCTTCTTTGAGGCTTCCCAGTAGCCAACCGCCACAAAAGGATCTCCCAGCACTAACCTGAAGCGATTTGGGTGGAGTTTCTACACCAACTCGATTGTGTTTAGTTGGGAAAATCATTGAACTATTGCTAGTGGATGTTCCAGCAAACCATGTTTGATTATCAGAAGGTATTTTCAAAAAGGGGGCCCACATATCACTTATATACACCATAATTATACTATAATATATATATGTGTGTGTGTCGGGATGCAAAAATTTTGCCAGCATATAAAAAAGAAACAAACATAACAAAAGCAATAACAAAAATTTGTTTTAAAAAACATAACATAATATAATACAATATAAGATACAAAAAATATAAATATGAATGTACATACAAATATAAGTATAATATAAATATCATATAATTAAAATATAATATCATTATAATATAATGTATTTAGAATATAATAATTAAAACATAAAAAATACAATAATATAAACATAATATAATATATTGAGAACATAATATATTTACAATAAAATATAATACAATAAAAATTAAAAATATCATATAATTTAATATAATATAATACAGTTTGATAGAATATAATGCAATATATTTATAATATAATTATAATATAATATAATTCACATATATATCCGCCGACCCCGGCAGACGCAAGGGGGAGCGCGCCAGGGAATAAGACATTGCGACTACTACTATACTACTGCAGCTACAGTAGATAGAAACAGCAGCAGCAGCAGCAGTAGCAGCAGCAGCAGCACAACAACCACAACAACAACAACAACAACAACGACAACAACAACAACAACAACAAGAACAAGAACAAGAACAAGAACAACAACAACAACAACAACAACAACAACAATGACCCTTTGCCGGGGGACCCTGTTGCCCCCTCCCACCGGTCACGTACGTCGATTCATTGACTCCGGGGTTTTTGTTTTACCGGTGGGGGGTCCTTCCCGGAGTCTCCTCGAGGTACGTGGGGCTCCTTGGGTTGCCCTTCCCGCTCTGATTTGTTCGTTCGAGGCCGCATCCTCGAGGTTCTATGTCTCATTGTACAAACAGTGGTATCCGCTGACCCCGGCAGACGCAAGGGGGAGTGCGTAAGGGAAAAAGAGTTTATGACACAGCTGCCAGGAAAGAATAATAATAATTCGCTGACCCCGGCCGATGCAAGGGGGAGCGACAACAACAACCATGTGCCACCTCTGCTGTGCTCTCGATAGTCCATAAGCTTCAGGGTTAGGCTGCAATTTTCTTAGATCAAGTCGTGTCTTTGGTACCGGAGCATACTACTTGCCAACATTTTGTTCCACATCTTTTCCCGTTTCGTTTTTTGTGCGCTACCCGTATGCGGCCAAAGCGTTTCGTGCTTTGCACTTCTGTTAAACATGCTGGACACTGATGTGTGAAAAAGCTCTGAATCACTGTGCCACCGCGAACACGGAAGCGGACACCACAATGCTGTTGTTTCGCATCAACTTGTCCATCAGTGACAGTACTACGGACCTGTGTCTCACAATGAGGACATATATATTCATAGACCGGCTTTCTCTGCGAGATAGTGGGCCCTGCTGTATTTTCAACGCATTTTTCAACAGGAATCGTGGTGCGACTACGTTTCCGAGCAATTGCTTCCCATGTCTCCTGGATAATTTGCCTGTGGCGCAATCTTTTCCGGAGAGGTTCGAGGCGAGCTGCACTGGAAGCAGCTGCGCGCTTGCGGACTGCATGCTGCACCTTCGCAGCGTGGCATGTGTTGCATGTCTGCGTTCCATCCTCCTTTCTAGAGGGCCGCCGGGAAATAAAGCTAGAAAAGTGGTGCCGCGACTAGGATTTCAGATGACACGTTAGGGAGTTTTTTGGCGTGGTTCTGGACCTTGCTCGTCCTTCAGAGCGATGGTGTTTTGCTGCCGGGAGCTGCTTTTTTCGAAGCTGTTTTACCGGCATCAGCAGCAGCAGCCGCCGCCACCAGTTCTGCGAGCAGCCGCAGGCAACAGAATCTGTCGACAAATGCTGTTTTTCTAGATTTCCAGACGACACGTTAGGGAGTTTTTTCGCGTGGTTTTGGACCTTGCTCGTCCTTCCGAGCCATGGTGTTTTGCTGCCGGGAGCTGCTTTTTTCGAAGCTGTTTTACCGGCATCAGCAGCAGCAGCCGCCGCCACCAGTTCTGCGAGCAGCCGCAGGCAACAGAATCTGTCGACAAATGCTGTTTTTCTAGATTTCCAGACGACACGTTAGGGAGTTTTTTCGCGTGGTTTTGGACCTTGCTCGTCCTTCCGAGCCATGGTGTTTTGCTGCCGGGAGCTGCTTTTTTCGAAGCTGTTTTACCGGCATCAGCAGCAGCAGCCGCCGCCACCAGTTCTGCGAGCAGCCGCAGGCAACGCAGGCAACAGAATCTTTCGACCTTGCTCGTCCTTCAGAGCCATGGTGTTTTGCTGCCGGGGGCTGCTTTTTTCGAAGCTGTTTTACCGGCATCAGCAGCAGCAGCCGCAGGCAACAGAATCTCTCGACAAATGCTGTTTTTCTAGATTTTTCTAGATTTCCAGACGACACGTTAGGGAGTTTTTTCGCGTGGTTTTGGACCTTGCTCGTCCTTCCGAGCCATGGTGTTTTGCTGCCGGGAGCTGCTTTTTCGAAGCTGTTTTACCGGCATCAGCAGCAGCAGCCGCTGCCACCAGTTCTGCGAGCAGCCGCAGGTAACAGAATCTTTCGACCTTGCTCGTCCTTCAGAGCTATGGTGTTTTGCTGCCGGGGGCTGCTTTTTTCGAAGCTGTTTTACCGGCATCAGCAGCAGCAACCGTCGCCACCAGTCCTGCAGCAGCCGCAGGCAACAGAATCTCTTGACAATCTCTCGACAATGTGCTGTTTTTCTAGGATTTCAGACGACACGTTAGGGAGTTTTTTGGCGTGGTTCTGGACCTTGCTCGTCCTTCAGAGCCATGGTGTTTTGCTGCCGGGAGCTGCTTTTTTCGAAGCTGTTTTACCGGCATCAGCAGCAGCAGCCGCCGCCACCAGTTCTGCGAGCAGCCGCAGGCAACAGAACCTGTCGACAAATGCTGTTTTTCTAGATTTCCAGACGACACGTTAGGGAGTTTTTTCGCGTGGTTTTGGACCTTGCTCGTCCTTCCGAGCCATGGTGTTTTGCTGCCGGGAGCTGCTTTTTTCGAAGCTGTTTTACCGGCATCAGCAGCAGCAGCCGCCGCCACCAGTTCTGCGAGCAGCCGCAGGCAACAGAATCTTTCGACCTTGCTCGTCCTTCAGAGCCATGGTGTTTTGCTGCCGGGGGCTGCTTTTTTCGAAGCTGTTTTACCGGCATCAGCAGCAGCAGCCGCAGGCAACAGAATCTCTCGACAAATGCTGTTTTTCTAGATTTTTCTAGATTTCCAGACGACACGTTAGGGAGTTTTTTCGCGTGGTTTTGGACCTTGCTCGTCCTTCCGAGCCATGGTGTTTTGCTGCCGGGAGCTGCTTTTTTCGAAGCTGTTTTACCGGCATCAGCAGCAGCAGCCGCCGCCACCAGTTCTGCGAGCAGCCGCAGGTAACAGAATCTTTCGACCTTGCTCGTCCTTCAGAGCTATGGTGTTTTGCTGCCGGGGGCTGCTTTTTTCGAAGCTGTTTTACCGGCATCAGCAGCAGCAACCGTCGCCACCAGTCTGCGAGCAGCCGCAGGCAACAGAATCTCTTGACAATCTCTCGACAATGTGCTGTTTTTCTAGGATTTCAGACGACACGTTAGGGAGTTTTTTGGCGTGGTTCTGGACCTTGCTCGTCCTTCAGAGCGATGGTGTTTTGCTGCCGGGAGCTGCTTTTTTCGAAGCTGTTTTACCGGCATCAGCAGCAGCAGCCGCCGCCACCAGTTCTGCGAGCAGCCGCAGGCAACAGAATCTGTCGACAAATGCTGTTGTTCTAGATTTCCAGACGACACGTTAGGGAGTTTTTTCGCGTGGTTTTGGACCTTGCTCGTCCTTCTGAGCCATGGTGTTTTGCTGCCGGGAGCTGCTTTTTTCGAAGCTGTTTTACCGGCATCAGCAGCAGCAGCCGCCGCCACCAGTTCTGCGAGCAGCCGCAGGCAACAGAATCTGTTGACAAATGCTGTTTTTCTAGATTTCCAGACGACACGTTAGGGAGTTTTTTGGCGTGGTTCTGGACCTTGCTCGTCCTTCAGAGCCATGGTGTTTTGCTGCCGGGAGCTGCTTTTTTCGAAGCTGGTTTACTGGCATCAGCAGCAGCAGCCGCCGCCACCAGTCGTGCGAGCAGCCGTAGGCGACAGAATCTCTCGACAATCGACAAATGCTGTTTTTCTATGCTGTTTCTATGCTGTTTTTTTGCTGTTTTTCTAGCACATTTTTTCTAGCATTTCAGACGACACGTTTGGGAGGTTTTTTGGCGTGGTTCTGGAACTTGCTCGTCCTTCGGAGCCATGGTGTTTTGCTGCCGGGAGCTGCTTTTTTCGAAGCTATTGTACCGGCATCAGCAGCAGCAGCCGCCACCTGCGAGCAGCTGCAGGCGACAGACTCTCTCGAAAAAAGCTGTTTTTCCAGGATTTCAAACGACATCAGCAGCAGCAGCCGCCGCCACCAGTTCTGCGAGCAGCCGCAGGCAACAGAATCTGTCGACAAATGCTGTTTTTCTAGATTTCCAGACGACACGTTAGGGAGTTTTTTCGCGTGGTTTTGGACCTTGCTCGCCCTTCCGAGCCATGGTGTTTTGCTGCCGGGAGCTGCTTTTTTCGAAGCTGTTTTACCGGCATCAGCAGCAGCAGCCGCCGCCACCAGTTCTGCGAGCAGCCGCAGGCAACAGAATCTGTCGACAAATGCTGTTTTTCTACATTTCCAGACGACACGTTAGGGAGTTTTTTCGCGTGGTTTTGGACCTTGCTCGTCCTTCCGAGCCATGGTGTTTTGCTGCCGGGAGCTGCTTTTTTCGAAGCTGTTTTACCGGCATCAGCAGCAGCAGCTGCCGCCACCAGTTCTGCGAGCAGCCGCAGGCAACGCAGGCAACAGAATCTTTCGACCTTGCTCGTCCTTCAGAGCCATGGTGTTTTGCTGCCGGGGGCTGCTTTTTTCGAAGCTGTTTTACCGGCATCAGCAGCAGCAGCCGCAGGCAACAGAATCTCTCGACAAATGCTGTTTTTCTAGATTTTTCTGGATTTCCAGACGACACGTTAGGGAGTTTTTTCGCGTGGTTTTGGACCTTGCTCGTCCTTCCGAGCCATGGTGTTTTGCTGCCGGGAGCTGCTTTTTTCGAAGCTGTTTTACCGGCATCAGCAGCAGCAGCCGCCGCCACCAGTTCTGCGAGCAGCCGCAGGTAACAGCATCTTTCGACCTTGCTCGTCCTTCAGAGCCATGGTGTTTTGCTGCCGGGGGCTGCTTTTTTCGAAGCTGTTTTACCGGCATCAGCAGCAGCAACCGTCGCCACCAGTCCTGCGAGCAGCTGCAAGCGACAGAATCTTCTTCAAAGCCATGGTGTTTTACTGCCGGGAGATGCTTTGTTCGAAGCTGTTTTCCCGCGAGCAGCTGCAAGCAACCGAATCTCTCGACAAATGCTTTTTTTCTAGGATTTCAGACGACATGTTAGGGAGTTTTTTCGCGTGCTTCTGGACCTTGCTCGTCCTTCCGAGCCATGGTGTTTTGCTGCCGGGAGCTACTTTTTTCGAAGCTGTTTTACCGGCATCAGCAGCAGCAGCCGCCGCCACCAGTTCTGCGAGCAGCCGCAGGCAACAGAACCTGTCGACAAATGCTGTTTTTCTAGTTTTCCAGACGACACGTTAGGGAGTTTTTTCGCGTGGTTTTGGACCTTGCTCGTCCTTCCGAGCCATGGTGTTTTGCTGCCGGGAGCTGCTTTTTTCGAAGCTGTTTTACCGGCATCAGCAGCAGCAGCCGCCGCCACCAGTTCTGCGAGCAGCCGCAAGCAACAGAATCTTTCGACCTTGCTCGTCCTTCAGAGCCATGGTGTTTTGCTGCCGGGGGCTGCTTTTTTCGAAGCTGTTTTACCGGCATCAGCAGCAGCAGCCGCAGGCAACAGAATCTCTCGACAAATGCTGTTTTTCTAGATTTTTCTAGATTTCCAGACGACACGTTAGGAAGTTTTTTCGCGTGGTTTTGGACCTTGCTCGTCCTTCCGAGCCATGGTGTTTTGCTGCCGGGAGCTGCTTTTTTCGAAGCTGTTTTACCGGCATCAGCAGCAGCAGCCGCCGCCACCAGTTCTGCGAGCAGCCGCAGGCAACAGAATCTTTCGACCTTGCTCGTCCTTCAGAGCTATGGTGTCTTGCTGCCGGGGGCTGCTTTTTTCGAAGCTGTTTTACCGGCATCAGCAGCAGCAACCGTCGCCACCAGTCCTGCGAGCAGCCGCAGGCAACAGAATCTCTTGACAATCTCTCGACAATGTGCTGTTTTTCTAGGATTTCAGACGACACGTTAGGGAGTTTTTTGGCGTGGTTCTGGACCTTGCTCGTCCTTCAGAGCCATGGTGTTTTGCTGCCGGGAGCTGCTTTTTTCGAAGCTGGTTTACTGGCATCAGCAGCAGCAGCAGCCGCCGCCACCAGTCGTGCGAGCAGCCGTAGGCGACAGAATCTCTCGACAATCGACAAATGCTGTTTTTCTATGCTGTTTCTATGCTGCTTTTTTGCTGTTTTTCTAGCACATTTTTTCTAGCATTTCAGACGACACGTTTGGGAGGTTTTTTGGCGTGGTTCTGGAACTTGCTCGTCCTTCGGAGCCATGGTGTTTTGCTGCCGGGAGCTGCTTTTTTCGAAGCTGGTTGACCGGCATCCGCAGCAGCAGCAGCCGAATACAATGACAGTACATTTACATTACACCAAATTACACTACATAACTTTACATTGCAAGGTACATACCAGCCAAAGTCCATCAAACTGCGCGGACAAAACCATGGTAAGAATGTCCAAGCGTTATGTCTGGGTTCCATTTAGTATTTCCTTCAAACCTTATTAGAGTGTCGTCTAGGGTCTCTTTAGGATGCATTTAAAGTTTCATTCAAATGGTTTCTTTAGGTCAATTTCTGGTTTCTTTAGGGTTCATTTCATTTAGGATCCAAACAGAAGAGAATAAAACAAAAGAACTAGAATTTCATGCCGAGCTTCTCTGGGATTCACTCGGGTTTCGCGTTTCTTAAAGATTTACATCTCTTAAAAGTTTTCTTTCGAGTTTCTTTAAGGTTTCTGTCGAATTTCATGCAGGGTTTGCTTTAGGAATTCTTTCAGGTCTTCCGGGGTCGGCGGCAGGGGCGGCAGCCCTTAATATATATCTATACACGACATATACTTTCACAAAAAAATGACCTTCAAAAAAAACACCGCCCAGTGACAGGTGAGCCAGGTGCAACCGCAGCTTGCTACTGAGATGCCTTGGCGTGAACAGGATGGGCCCCCCGTTCGATAGCGTTCAGTTGCCTGAAAAAAGTGGCTTAATTATGGTTTATGGTAGATATAACCTTATATAACTAATATTTTCAATGGGGTTTTATAATTAAGTGGCTTTATGGTTTATGGTAGGTATATGTAGATATAACTAGAGTTAATGGATGTCAATGGGGTTTATAAACCAACTTATAACTGGAAAGCACCATCCTGTATGGATTTTTGGGTGTAATGTGATAAACACTGGCTGCCATAAACCTAAAGCATGCGGGGGTAATACTAAACCACTCACAATAATGGTGAACGGTAAGGAATGGCCTACCCTCCGGTGTCATCAAACGTGGCGGGTTGCTGGGAAAAACGTTATAAATCAATGAAGGTTTAGTTTGCTGGGAAAATCATCGGTGGATTTTCCCATTGCCGTGTTTGATTACATAATGAGCGTAGTTCATCAACCTGAGATTTTGGTCATAATGGGTGTGAATAGTTTTTGCCAGCTTAAAAAGCTTAAACAACTCAGTAATTTCGGGATGCCCCAATCCAAAGCAGCATTCCAGTGACATCGCGACATGAGGTTGCTGAACATTCACCCAAATCAACACTACCCAGAAAGGTAAAGTCAAAGTGAAGTTTTGTCAACATAATGGGAACATGTTTTTTTTCATGATCTTCCCACCAAAGTTGCTTAAGCTAATTTGATCAGTTCAATCCCAATGTTTGATAGTTATCGTCTGGTTTTTAAACGCTTTGCGACATGGAAAACCACAATGTTTAATAGCTTATAAATCATCATCATATATATATATATCATCTATAAATGGGCCATGGTTTCCACAACAAACTGTTAAGTAACCAAAGGATATATCTATACAAATTAAAATATATCCTACCTCGTCACCTTGTAGTCCTCACCAGCCGTGCAGGCTGCAGAGCATGTTTCTGAGAGAAAAGGCCAGCATCCCCAAGCCTCTCAAACCCCTAGCCTCACCAAAAAAAAAAACGCTGTTTTTGTTTTTTTGTTTCAGCATCCTAAAGCCTCTTGAGTCCCTAGCCCCACCAAAAAAATGTTCAGTTTCTGAAAAGAGTTTTTTGCCTCATTTGCTACTCAAAAAGTAGGCGGAAGCGAAATTAGTTAATTCTTGTCGCCAATTTGCTAACTCCACCTCGTCACCCCGGCTGGCGCTATATCAAATTCTTGCAAATATGGAGGTGTCCTAAAATTGTCAAAAATGGTGGTACCCCCAGTTATCATCAATTTTCATCAGATTTCCCATGCCATAAACCATCCAGCTCTTAGAACCCCCCACATACCCTCTGGTAATTTAACATAACTATGGAAAATCACAATGTTTAATGGGAAAACTCACTATAAATGGCCATGTTCAATAGCTATGTTAGTCATTACCAGAGGGTATCAGTTCCATCGCCTCGCTGTTTCACCGAGCTGCACCGTGCGCTTGCTGATCGCCTTGGGTCCCACATAGCCGTCATGGGATGGAGACATCCAGGCAGCCCACACCTAAAAACCAACGCTGGCCGACTTCATGACTTGGCCAACTTAGATACCCTGCTCCCCCCCAAAAAAACCTAGCTGGTTAGTAGATAATCCCATTGATACTTTAAGAGACTAAAGGATTCAAGTACCCATTATCCAAGATTGACCTAGTCTATGGTTTATGCATATTTGGAAATTTCCTAAGTCATGGGGGACGGTTTTCCTATATGCTGATTTCGGGGATTATTATTGTTTTACCCACATTACCCCAATAGCTAGATGGTTTATGGAAAATCTTGTTTAAAAATGGATGATAACTGGGGGTACCCCTAATACCCGTATTTTTTCGGACACAACCATTGATGGCTGTTGATTATTCAAAAACAATGGCATATCAATTACAGATTTAATTGTAGTTTTTTACATATGGATTGCGAAAAACTATATATCTTTGCCCAATTCTTATTTATGGGTCTTTATAATTAGTTATGGGGTATGGATGGAAAGTTTAGTGTATGGATGTTTATCCATTTTAATGTACTTCTATGGATGTTTGTCTATGGTTTATGGATAGCTATTGACTAACTATAGCTATCAACCAACACCAGGTGTTTACCAACTGTAATGAACATAAACATCGTTAGCTCAATCAACTATAGCTATATCATATTATATCATGTTATATCATATATCTATTCATTTTTATGGATGCTGATCTGAGATATAGCTATAGTTAATGTGTTTTTTTATATATAGCAACTTGTAGTTGGGTGTCAAAACATGGTATCTGATTGTAAACCCAATGCTTTAATAAACATAGCATTTGGGGATGACAGTTACCACACATAAGAATGGTGAATGAATGGTGATTTTTTCAGGATTGCCAACCCTCTGTCATCAAACATGGCTGGGATGTCCTGGAACTAAATGGTGAAAAAATATCATGTTTGATTACGGCAAATGGTACAGTAATACTGATTAATACTGATTAATCATATGCAAATGATGAAATATGATGAAATTGTCCATGGCCATGTTGAATTAGCAAAGGGTACACAAGGTGCCTCCCCCATAGCGTTGCTTGAGAAAAGTAGGTTGGCTATGATTTATGGTTGGCATACTTAATATTGCTTAATTATATGGCGACAGAGTCAGGAAAAAAAAAATACAGTATATTTATACTTTCAAAATCGTACAAATCAATGCAAATCAGCCTATATAATCTATATATGCTGAAATGAGCCTGCAATACTTGTTCCATCTTGTTCCTTGCAACGGGGGTCCATGTGCATCCCAACCAGCAGGTGCGTAATTCCTAGATTCCATTAGATTCCTGGTACCAGCCCACATCTGAAATTGCAACACTGACTTCTGACCATCATGGATGTTTCAAATCCACGCAATACCACACGGAATATTTCTCCATTTGCTTTAACCTTGAAGCAACAACACCGTGACAAAACTTCACCATAATTGAGCCCATTGTTCTTTTTGAACCCTCTCAACTTATTTCCATAATCCTAGCATCATTAGCATCTGGGGATGATACTTACCACCCATGATTCATGTTCCTTCTCCGCGATGGTCTAACCTCCGGTGATCCACCCAGCCGCCGGCACCTGATATCCTGCTCCCTCGAGACGCTCGCGCGCTTGCCGTAGGAGCTGAGCATGGCCCTTGTGCGGGGGATTCATGGCGCCGGTGGTCAGCAACACCTCTGCCCGGAATTCGAGGATCCCAGGCCGGGGCTAAAGCGAAACAACGTAGATTCAATGGATATAAGGGATATATCTTCCAAACCCAACTTAGCAAACTGATCTTGTAGAAATAAAAAATAAGATCTACAGTAGCTCCAAAGCACTGGCAAACATTTAAGTTCATCATGACCAAATGTGTTTCTAGAGCTCATCCCAGAACAAAAAAAACTCAAGCAGGGCTACGCAGGAATCATCAGAAATTTCTCTTCAGTTTTCCCTATTGAAAACACATGCCATTTGGAATCCATTTGGAGGTTTCCTAAAATATGAGTACCCCAAACCACGGCTTTTCCCATTTTTGGATACTTTTGGATGATTTTGGGGTACCCCCCATGTTAGAAAACCTCCATTTGGAGGTATTGAGACCAGACATTGCTCCACCAAGCGTCACAGGCCGGCCGCTCCCGATGCGCTCCCGGCAACGCATGGTGAAGGCGCTGCATGGGCCACGGCTGCCATGGCTCGTCCATCGCCATCTCCAAAGGGGTCGACAAAAAGCGGAGGGGGATCTGTTTTTCTATGTATATATGTATATATAGGTACTATAGGCTTGATCCAAATAGTTTTTAAATGTGTATATATATATATACATAATTAGATATAAATTCAATTACTTGATTAATTATGTGTTTCCCCTTTTTATTTCATTTTTGGGGAGGGAACGTCATTTTGTCATTGGTGAGATTGTTCCAATTTTATCCTGTGAAACGAAGATCGGGTGCCAGGAACAAATTGCTCTGCAATCATCTCGCTCTGTCTCCAATCATCTAAACAAGATTACACAAGGGTGTTTTCTCATGAAATCTTGCTTCCGTCCTCGCATTTTCTCGGTTGAGATATTTTACAATGGACTATCGCTTTGAAAATTGTTGAAGGGGATACCGCAACACTCCGATCCGTTCCGATTGACAAAAGTGCGACGGATATCAAGACGACTCTTCCGCGGACACATCGATAAGGCCGTTGTCGCAGAAGGTGATTCGAAGATACTTGCAGGTCTGTTGCCAAGTTGAAGCGAGTTTAGGTCAGATTTGTTATTTCAGGTTCCATATCCTTCCAAAGCCACTAAAGTCACTAAAGCCACGCTTTGGAATCCATGAGCTCCTGGCGCCATTCCGCTCTCGGATGCCAGGCCACCAAGCCCATTTAGTTCGATGATTTGCCCCAAAAGTTAGATTGTGATTGTTCCATTTGTTCCATGTGTTCCTCTTATGTCTACCAAAGAGATCCAAGTTGAGTAAATGATCCCCTTGAATCTGGTCCTGTACTGTACGAGTAGCATACTGTAGCTATTTGGGATGGCTGGTGGGGCATGGAGTTGTTGACTAACGATGGGATGGCTTGGATACTCCAAGTCGCTAAAAGGAAGCGCTCCCCGGTTATAAGTTGGTTTATGAACTCCCGTAACTATATCCGCAGATATCCGCCATAGATCCTAGTTACTACTGACTTCGCAAGTATAGCGCGCCCACCACCTTGTGGAATGAGGAGTATCTATACAGTAGCTCCAAAGCACGGGCATTCAAGCTGATTCCCTCGTCCCACAACTGAATACTCCTGAAGCGGGGCTCATTGCTCATTATCACAGGGATCGGAAAGTCAAATACACAACCAAGGTACTTGAAGGGTCTGGGTACTGTACTTGAACTTATGGCAGCATGCTGCAAATTCCACGCACAACCCGGACATTGAGCTCGCCACGATCTAAATATCAAGACCTACATCCCAAATCATAGGACTCTAGTCACACATGACGCTTGCTCCCCAGTCCCACCATGTCCCACCTGAGACTGAGCAGCTGCCAACCTGGCCAGTTGTCTATTCCACCAGGATCTCCATTGGATATGGAATTCACTATGGAGTCTATTGAGAAAAAAATGCCCTTGAACCCTCAAGGTGCCCTTCCCCCCAAAAAAATCAACAAAAATGCCACCATCAAGCTCTGAGTCGAACCAAGGACCCGGCAACCTGCTGATTTCATCCATGATCTTATTTGAAAGTGTGAACTTACCCTCCGGTGAGTTGATAGTTTGCTATGGAAAATTGAGCCTCTATACTTGGACTAGCTATTAAACATGGTGATGTTCCATGGCAAATTCTTCAACCACAATTTGCGTTCGACATTTTCATACATTTTCTGTGTGGCTCAATGTTTAACATACAACAGCCAGGCTCTGGAATTTCCGGAATAGGCAGAGCAGAACCCTGGGATACCCTGGGAACAAAAGAATACCATCCCAGCAACCTTAAGTGAATCCCCAATCGCCATCAGGAGATTTGTTAGTCCCCCATGAATGGATTCCCAGAGTGTCAACACCTCAAGGCACCTGTCCACTGCAGTATCTGATATATCTAAATAAATAAATATCTAAATAAATTAATTAAATATATATATATTATATGCTTAGATCATTATACATACATATACATATGTATATATATATATATATTATTTGTGTGTTCAAGCAAACACAGTAGCCGAAACCACTGACCACCCCAAAACCGGCATTTTTGATCAAGTGAGAAGCCATTTGACATGTTTATTTTGCGCATATTCTCAGTGTTCTGAGCAACTGTTCAAGTGTCATGTCTTGAGTCCCAAGAACATTCTTTTCAGGCAACGCCCAAAAGTGACCTCACTGACATATGAGTAAAATGAGATTGTCATCCCGCGGAAGTAGTGGCTAAAACAACTCAAAAACACCAAGCAAATGTCACAGCATGATGTCGATGATCATGAACCCAAGGATAGGCGGGTGAAAATAAGAAAATATAAGAAAACTCTTAAAACCCACCAGATCCACCAGTTCTAAAACCATGATGTGGAAAAAAATGTATCCCACATTTGGTTAAGAATTTAACCCCCCTCACCTTCCAGCGCGTGGCGTAGCCCACGGGGACCTCAACACTGCGGTCATGATGTGACTACAAGGTGGTCCCCCATAGCCCATACTTGGCTAAATTGGTTTAAAACTAGGCTAACCATGGTTAAATGCTATTAAATAATAGATATATTTAACTAATGGAGTTTACAAACCAAGAAACATAAGTGGAAAACAATGGAAAACCACCATCTTGACTACCAGTCGGCTCTGGGGGCTTTCACATGACGCAAGTGCCCAGACCCCTGCATCATCCCCTTCTACTCTTCTACTGAGTTTGACAGGGGTTTTGATTAGGGTTCCCATACTGGATTACTTCTAAGTCATCACCATGATCTCAGTACACTCAGTACACATAGCCATGAGCTTTGGTTTACCCTCTGGTAAACGCTCACATGGCTATGGAAAATCACCATCTTTACTAGGTAAATCGACGAACTCAATGGGCCATGGCTTCAAGTTCGCAAACTGTTAAATTACCAGATGGTATATATATATATGGATATACCGTATACCTACCATAAATATCCATATATATATATATTATATATTATATATATATATATATCCATGTATTACCAGGAAGATAGATCAACCAATGACAAAAAAAATGTTGGTCTCCGAAGTCTGTAGATCCGCGCCGGCGTGGCGAGGTGGCCATGGCCTCGCAAAACATGTTGGCATTTTTGGGCCCATTTTGGGTACCCCGAATGGTACATAAATAATCATTCCGAATTTTATTGCATTTATTCCCCCAAAATATGGTACGGTAATAGGATGTAATAGGTTTTGACACATCCCAATGCTTTGTTTGTGGATCATTTCCGAATGGCTGGGCTGCCATTTTTGGACTGTTTGTTGTGGTCTATGTGTTTTACTTTGCTGGAGGCTATCCTACCTCGTATCTGTTGGGATTGCGATCAGAACCGGAGAAGGGATTACAGGGTTGCATGCTGGATGTGCAAGCACAACAACAAACGGCTCCACTAACCAACAGGACAGTGATCCTCTTTGGAGGGACCTCCATCAGGAATCACATCTACCCTCCAGTAACATGGCAATGGAAAATCCGCTATTTCTAGATGTTTTTCCCATCAAACCTCCATTTTGATCGGGGATTTTCCAGCTAGCCACGTTTGATTACCAGTGGGTAGCCCAACCTCTTGAGGACTCTCCCACCAGTGCTGCCAGAACCTCAGCGGGCTGCCTGGGAAAAAATTGGAGACCTCGCAATCCAAACATCTGCGCATGATGCAATGCAAGAAAGCATACTTTTATCATTGGATTGATTTAAGGGAAAATCTACAGGAAACCATGGTTTTTACCATCAAATATAGGGCTTTCCTGTAAATTTTCCCATCATCCAATTCTATGATTTTATTATCCTTGATGCTGTTTGATTGAGAATATTGAATGCGCCTTTTTAGATATCCCATGACATCCAAAAAAGTGCCTTTGCGGTGCATGATAAGACTGAGAAGTCACTGATAAGACATAATTGCTGTGACATATCACAGAAACCCATATGATTCAAATTTTAAATATGTATGTATATATATATATATATACACATACATATCGCTTCCATATTATATATATAACCAAAAATGTGTATAATATATATATATATCACAAAATGACATGCATGGACGGTGATATAGCATGTCACAAATCAACAAGGATAATGATCCGCACAAGATGACAATTCTGCATTCTGCATTTGTCACTCCCCCCAAAAAAAGAAACGTTGGAATCCTGGAAAGTATATGGAAAACATCATCGAACTACCATACTCGTGCCACACGTTTCGGCATCTTTTTGGGGGTTGCTATGCAGGAAACCCTACTTTTCTGATCGGAAACACGATGGTTTCCTGGTTTTTCCTATATGGAATTTCCCATGCATCCCCATTGAGGTCATTTCCCGTTGTCATCATAATATGCTGGGAAATCCCCGAAACCCGACTGATGACACCTGGACAACTCGCTATTCCCCAGGCGACCCGGCGCGTGCCCTTTCTGCCAGCCCTGAAGGCTGCAATCCAAAGAATATTTACCCACAGGAGGGGTTGGCCCATTGGAACCATCATCCCTGGGTCCCAGTGCCAGAGTTTACCAGAGTTTAGGGTTTACAAAGGTGGAACAAAAAACGGCCCCATGGAACAACTAACCAAAACTGTGAAACATAGCAAAAGGGCGATACGCACGAAGTCGGCAGAGGATTCTCTTTTCCGACTGATTTTCCAAAAAAATGTCTTGGGACAGCCCAGATGTACCAATGTCATAAAACACTGCACCTGCGCAGTGAAAAGAGTCTCGTTGGGACGTTAACAATTCGATTCCGGGCCAACCCTCAGTCCTGCCTGTATATTTAAGATGGTCTATATGATAATTTTTATTTTAGATCCTAATAGATTTTAGAGCTTTCTCTCTCTCTCTCTCTCTCTTGTTCATTGATGTCATTGCAAATGAGGCAGTTTGTTACCTTCCATCCCTGGCTCGGACTCAGTGCCCACCTTGCCTCTTGCCAGAGAGGCCTGGGAGAGTGTAAACTCAAGGTTCAGAAACCTATGAAAATTATGAAACCATCATGAAACTCGGGATTCCTTCAGAGT